GATTGATTTAGCCGACTTCGTGTGGTTATAGATGGCTCGTTCAATCTGGGGTTTCTGAAGGAACCGGGATGGCAAGGGAGTTGGGTCATCGTATGCACCAGACTCGGCAGACTTGAGAAAAGAGGTCGCGAACACGTCGAAGGCATTCAAATTGAAGGGGTGCGTGCGCCTTAGCTGAAAGTCGAAGCGGAAGGATTCTTCGGAGATCTGAATGCAGCCCGGCAGACCTTTGAGATAGGCGTCTAACTCCTCCGTGGTCAAAGGTCGACAGTGAAGGGACGAGGGATCCAAGGTATGTAGGCTTTTAGCCTCAAGAAGGCGAAGAAAATGCTTCCGAATCGAGGCCTATGACAATGAGTCTATTGCTAAGCGGCCTCGGTATAACGGCACTAACCAAAAAGTGACCATACAGAGCATGCTCTGAGACGTCCGATGGTTGCAGAACAGAGCATGAGCGAGGGGCTTCGTCATTGATGTGAGGGCCGTCACGATGCCGGGGAACACCGGTAGAGGTGGGATCCGTTGCAGGTTGGTCCTCTATTACTCCGAATAAGTCATCATTGCGAGGGAGAGTATGGTTGGGCACGCACCAGTTGGTGGACGCACATCGACATCGTCGCTCCGAGCGGCGAAGCCTAGGCTCACGACTTGATACGCGCGGCAACCAATCATACTCAATATGCTGGAAGCGGTTGACCACTTGGAACTCGTCACGGCACTCGAACCTGCGCCTCCGCACAGTTAGCTTCGATCTTCGCATGCAGGAATCAGTAGTCGGTCACACCTGTCCTCGTATGTTGGTCTTTCACGTCACGAAAACTGCAAGTGAGGCTCACCGTCGAGCGTAGATGGGGCGGGGGCTCGTGCTGCAGACATGATGTGTACGGAAGGCAATCCAGCTCAGCAGTCGTTCTTATATCGAGGTACCGATGACTCGCAATCGCCATCTTGAGAATGGCGAAGATTGTCGATAAACGAACCAGGCACAGCGGCAGCATCCGAACGAAGGTGTAAAGAGGTAGAAAGGTCTTTTCGGGCAATATTGCCGACGCTCGGCAATGACCGTGCTTGTTAGAGAGCATCGGCGCAACATCAGCGTCGACGCGTGTCGATTGCAACGTCTCCTGCTTTCAACCACAACCATGAAACTCTGTATACGTACACAAGCCTTACCCCTTCGATGCCTTGCCTTGGTATCGCCGAGACTATGCATGAAGGTGATGACTATACGTGTTGGACACATGCGACCATAGTCGATATGGAAGGGCGACGTCGGGCTGTTCTTTGTACTGTCTTTGTTCCAATGACACGCGCAGTCGGCAATGTGCGCCTCGCGCAAGACAAAAGGCAAAGGGAACAAAGACGTCACTCTCTGGAATCGGTTACTCCCGGAACTCTCATAACTGTTCCTTTACTTAGATCTGTGTTCGTCACTCGCCCCCATTGTCATTGCCGATCCTGCTGCCTACATCGACCCTTGCACGCGCATTTAACACGTAGCCGACATGCCGCGAGCCCCCGCTGGGGCGCAACGGGAGAGACTGTATCTGTGTTCTTGCTCTTCATGCTCGAAGCACAAAGCAACCCACTTGGAGACCAAGAAACGTGTCAACGGTGTCTACTACAACTATGCCGCCTTGAAGAGGCATCAACGGGATCTCCAACGTCACGCACGCGAGGAAACGGAGGATGTGCTCATACGCAGAACCTTGCAAGACGTTCCCATGAGCGACAGCTCTATAACTGGTACGGGGTCACCGCCTTAGCGCAGGATCGAGATCACATTCTGACTTGAGATTATAGGCCCTACGTCCCATGACGGCCACGCTGGCCACGGCACCCCCAAAGGTAAATATCATTCGGAAAGGTGGAGCTACGGGCACTCAAATACGAGCTAGATCATTTCACGCGTGATGATGCACTTACGCCAGATAGGCGTTGGTATGCGGATCAAGGTGAGCTACACAGGCAGCACCTACAATGTATAACTCAGGCCAATCATTAGAGCATTCTTCCCGCAGCGGTGACGAGAACGTCACCGCTGGTGAGGAAATCAACACACAGAACGAAGAGCTAGACCCAGGTAACGGTGAGTAAACTCTCGGTGATACCGGTATAATTTGCACAGTGCCAACATAACCCACAGAAACTGCCAGACTCACGCATGAAGTGCAACTCCAGCTTGAAGAGTATCTTCACCGGCTGCGCGCTCTGGAGCGTTCGTGGAAGGCGCCCAGCCTTGTCTTTCATGGCAGTTTCGGACCCAGTGGCGACGATAGCCCCTGGCGCAGGTTACGTCATCGTGATGGCCCCGATAACTACGGGTTTTTGGCTTCCAAAAATGAGACGGCGAACCTCATCAAAACACTCAGGAATTTCCGCGTCCCATCCTTCGCTCATGCCGCCCTCGAGCTCAAGCAGACGACGTTGGAACTGGCTGAAGCTCTTGATCAACGGCATGAACGGGTCGCAAAAGAGCAGTGGTGCGCGCATCAGTTGCAGATGCGGCTCTATCATCAGGCGAAGATGCTCAAGATTGACACCTGTGAGTTCAGCTTTGCATCTTCACTTCCTTCGATTGACTGGGACCTAGCGTCGCACTTCTTCAACTTGTCTGGTCTATCAGCGTCGCATCTGATGAGCATGCTGTCTATCATCGCGGTCTACTACTTTCGTGGACTCACGCGCGATGCATCCCATTTCCTCCTCGAAGCTATCGGGATGATCATGGTGGAATGTGTTACTGGCTTCTGCGTCACCCGTGGGATCGATTGCACGAACGTCGCCGACGCGGTTTTGGGTGACTGGAGTGTGGACATCCGGACGGTGATGAAGAGGTTCAACCTCCTGCCGGAGTTCGTCGAATGGGCGGCTTGCCTGCATTGTCACGCTCTACACACAATCGACCCTGGACGGCACGATTTCGTGGAGATATGTGGCTACCGAGGGTGCACAGGGCACCTATTTCGCCATTCCATCGACAACGTCAACGCTCTCATAACTCCACTCTCCCCGTATAGAGTCCAGACCCCGAGCACCTGGATCGGCAGACTGCTGTCTAGGCCGAGGATAATCAACAGCCTCATCACGCACGCGAGTGCCAGCGTCTCTGGCATGGAACACGACTTCTGGCACGCCTCGGCGCCCCGAGAATTCCTCGACCATGACGGTAGACCGTTCTTCAGAGCCGCCCTAGACGCCGGGGAAATCCACCTCGCTTTTGGCCTTTTCGTTGATTGGTTCAACGCTTTCGGAAAGCGATCCAGTCGTGGTCACTCTTCCGGGGTTTTGTATCTTGTCTGCTTCAATCTGCCTCCTGAACTCCGCTACCGCGTTGAGAACATGTGCCTCATCGCTGTCATCCCGGGCCCGAAGGAGCCGGCCCTTCAAGCTCTCAACCACTACCTTGCCCCTGTGGTGGACGACCTTCTGTCCTTGTGGAAGCCTGGAGTGGTCCTGAGTCGCACGGCCACCGCTGTCGAAGTGCTCGTACGCGGAGCGCTTCTTCCTCTCATCGCGGACACCCCCGCCATCAGGAAGGCTCAAGGGACGTTATCCTTCAGTTCCAAGGTTTCGCCGTGCAGCGTTTGCGCCATCTCATCGTCGGAGCTCAACGACTTCGACTACGAACATTGGAAACGCCGCAGTTGGGCCGAGCATATGGAGCACGCGACGGCCTGGAGAGACGCTCCTACACAAGCTGCCAGAAAGACTCTCGAGGATTTGACCGGCATTCGCTGGTCTGAACTCCTACGGCTGCCTTATTGGAATCCGACCGTGTACGCGATTGTCGATGCCATGCACAACCTCTTCCTCGGTGATATTGCTAGCCACCTCGAGAAGGCATGGGGGATGCAATGGATCAAACCTAGAGTCGATCCGGACGGCGGGGGCGTAGCGACATCCAAGACGAACGGGAGGCTTTCCCACACTCCCGACCAACAGCAGGAGATGCTCTCCAATATCGTAGCGGCTTGGAAGCGGCACGATGGGGATTTCCTTTCAGGGAAACATACGAGGAAGGACTACTTGCTCGCCGTCGCTCACGCGAATAAGGTTCCCGTTTCCACAGGAGGAAGCAAGCGCGAGATTGCGACCATCATGATCGGTTGGCTTGTGATGCAGTCTCACGACCTGCAGATCAGGCAGCCCGAACCGCGACCATACGCCGTGCACGTATTTGAGGGCGACGACTTACCGGCAGATTCTGGTCTACGCATCCTAGATAACGAGGAGTTGGAGGCCATCTGGCCCATAGCGTCTCGCATATCTCTTCCCACGTGGCTTAATCGCGGCCCACAGTACTTCGGGAAGCCAGGTATTGGCACAATAAAGGCCGACAGCTGGCGCACCATTGGCACGGTTCTGCTCCCCCTTGTTCTTATCCTTCTCTGGAGTAAGGGCGGACGGCGTCATACACACTTTCATGCGATACTTCTGGATAACTTCCTCCACTTGGTCGCCGCTGTCAACCTCGCAACTATGCGGTCGACATCCAACGATAGGCGGATGAGCTACCTAGAGCATCTACAGAAATACGCCCGCGGCCTCGTGCACACGATACCGAACTACCCCGTCCCTGCCAATCTACACCTCAGCTTTCACATTCCGGAGATTCTGGAGCTATTCGGGCCTGTGCGTAGCTGGTGGACCTTTCCGTTCGAGCGCTATATCGGTGTCATGCGACGACATACGAACGGTAAATCGGGTAGGTCTCGCATGTTTCCCCCGCTGCATACCATACTCATCATCTGTAGGACAGTTAGAGATGACTTTTTTTAACGCATTCACCAGTGCCTGCAATCTGCGCATCTTGATGGAGGACATCACGGACTCGGGTTTGATACCTTCCTTCACGGCTCTATTCAACCGCTTCTTTCAGAGAGATGTTGCAGGGACGGGTTCACGCAAGCCTGCGCCTGCGCAAAGGCGCCAAGGGAAGCTCACCCTTCACGAGGCCACGCTCCTCGCCCATCGACTCAATGGGTCTGCCGTACACACTCGTTATGCTGCCTCTGCTACCGCGAACTGCGTCCAAGTTTCGCGCAACGTCACCATGCTATCAAGTTTCTCGCTCAAGGAGACCACGTTTTCGGACAGCACCAGCTCCCAGACCAACTGTGACGTTATTGCGCACGTCTCGAGCCTGCCTGGCGCGCGCGAAGAAGTAGCCGGAAGGATCACTGCGATCTTCGAACATACCCGCGTGATTGATAACGGGGCCAAGGTCACTGAAACCTTCGTCGTATTCCGCCCTTTCATGCATTTGTCGCCGGCAGAGGCGGCATGCGATCCGTTCCGAACTTTCACCGGGTTCAACGCACGTTCATACAGGAATCAACTGTCGAAAGATGCAGTCATCATCAAGGCGAACGACCTAGTCGCGCACTTCGCCGGCCTTCTTTACAAGATGAAACCTACAGTTGAAGGCGGGCATCCGGGGGAGCAGACCCTATTCCTGATTGAAGAAGATACGAACTTGCCCGGCCATCGTCTGCCGGAATACATCGCTGTACTTTCGTTATGCAGGGTGCGCCACTTCGCTTATCCTTATGTCATCTCTACTAAATCATTCCCCAGGATTGAATGATCAGGCGTGGCATGATATTAATCCGTGTTTCTGTGCATGATTCCTTCTGGTCATCCTGTTATCTAGCCTAGTCCTTGTAGTCCAACGCTATACAACTGCTCCCCAGCTCACTATACTGGGGGTTTTGTGTCATGAGCTCCCTCGGTGCACGTAGTGTGTGTCAGTACACGAGGAAACTGAAGTGTCTGTGCTGCTGAGGGGCTCGTAGACTCCAGCCTTCGGGGCTTGTCGCTTCGCTTATCCCGCGCCATTCCCTTATGCGCGCAAGGGCATCGAGCGCAAGCAACTGATGACATTGCCGTACCGAGAGCACGTGCGCCGCCCGGTGGGCATTACAGGTAAGCACACGGAGGAGCTTCCGTTCTTTGCATCCAGGCAAGCACTGTGATCCGCGCGCGCACTAGCGCACTTGTAGACGTGCCGATACCGGGAGGTGCTCGACACTATTACATAGGAATACACGTAGTGTAAGTCGATAGCGCGAGGGAAATGCCAGTGGACAACATCAAAAGCCGGCGGTCAGGTTGCTCGATGAGTAGATGCGGATAGCGTAGGCCCGCGCGTGTTCCGACACAGGCGATCAGTTCGTGGTGACGTGGCCAATCATGATCGCGTACGGCTAGCATCGTTGTGGATGGATCCGCACGATATGACAGGCCCATAACACAAGTTCTAGCAGGAGCAATTTGACCTTGAAAAGTTCCATGCATTAGCGGGAGTAAGCGCAAAGAAGAGCTCGGGATCGAGCTTGTTGTAAAAGAAGACCATCTCCGGTTGGGGCTCGTCTTGTAGGAGAAAACTTGTAAAAATGTACCCAATCCTATGGTCTCGTCAATGCGTCTCCTACTCCTTGTTGGCTCGTTGTTAAATATTTGCGCTCGTTATCTGTGCTGTGCGAATTCATGTATCTCATGCTGACTGCATGACCAGGCTGCGTTCTCTCCTGCCAGTTCTCAGAGCAGCGAGGGCGATACAAGACGACCGCAGCTGAAAGGCACGTATGGCCGGGCGCTGGACTTCAGCTTCGCGTAGCGAGCTGTCTGTCGATGTAGGCTCCATTTCGCCTGGTTGCCAAGGACAAGCACAGTATCACTCATAGCATGCAGGGCCCGTGTTCGAAACGCGGCTAGAGCTATCGTGCTCTAATCCCGCCGATAAAGCTTCGGTGGCGGTGATTAATGCAAGGGTCTGGGGAGTTGCGATGCACTGGGCGAGTACCTTGCAGTATTTTCGGTTCGATCTCGCTGCCCAACGTGTGGCTCCTGATACTGCTGTATCTGGCTTTCAGATAGATTGATTCCCCGACTACATGTCGCGTATCTGGGGTCTGTTTATCCATGCCTGAGCACCGCATACGTGTCGTAGCAAAGACTCATAGGTCCGTCGATAGGTTAAGATGACCCTGATGTAGCTGCGCACTGCCATCGTCCATAGCTTGCTTTAATGAGCTACACGTATAGCTGCAAGCGGGATACATAGAGGGCTGTCCTTGGCAGTTGTGGTTGGGCTTTCATGTCATGTCCGATCACCCCCTTTGCCTGGATCGGGGTAGCCAGTTTACATCTGTCTCTGAGAGTGGGGGTATCTCTCGCTGTCGGGACAGTCGTTTCCTATGCACGCAGGTACCAACCTGGCTGCGGTCAAGTTCCATCTGAAACGCAGAGTAGGTAAACATAGCTGACGTGGCCGAGACTTCATGTGACTTCGCTTTTTGCCGAGTGCGCTGGGTGTAGGGCGACGCAATCGCTCCATCTTCCCTTCCACCCCCACCCTGGTTTACCGCTCGTTCGCGTCCCCCCTCCCCCTCCCTGTCCTAGCCGCACCTGAATACGATCTCACCCATGTCGTGTCATCACCTGCCGCTCCTGGACTCGTCCCTACTCTTCTCATAAAGACGGTCCACCATATCTAGGCGAAAATTGGGACGCTCAGGGGTCCAAGCCCCGCATCCCGCTTCACTCGCAATACGGCAGGTCCCCTACGGGACCTCGTGAGGCGCCTCTCGCCTTGTTGATCAGGCCCATGGGCACGGTGTTGGGCATGGGCACGGTGTTGGCTGGGTGGGGGCGACAGATACACGTGCGGAGTTATCCGGGCGCTCGTTGATAGGCGCGCCCTCGGGCTCATCGGAGCGCTCGTCGATAGGCGCGCCCTCGGGCTCATCGGAGCGCTCGTTGATAGGCGCGCCCTCGGGCTCATCGGAACGCTCGTTGATAGGCGCGCCCTCGGGATTACCGGAGCGCCTGTTGATAGACGCGCCTTCGGCGTCGCCCGAGCGCCCTGCAATCCTGTCGCGTGGCGCGTCCTCGGGTTCTGCGTCGTTGCTCTCGACATTCATCGCGCATCTACCATCGTCCATCCATTCCCATCGCATCTCCCGCGACCTGCTATGAACAACAACATCGTCAACGCGAACGCCGCTAACGACAACGGGGCGGCCGATCAGCTCGGTTTGGCCCTTGTGCCTGCAGTGCCGGCTGGCGTTCAGGTCGCCCAGGCCGCAATCAACGCTCCAGGCGGTCCAGAGGACGCTCAGGCTGCCCCCGCCTTTCCGGGTGACCTCGCTGTCCCGCAGGACGCTCCAGCAGCGCTCGGCGGCGCTCCGCAAGGTGGCCCTGCCGCTTTCGTCGCTCAACCTGCACCGGGTCTCGGACAGGCGTATACGCAGGCGCTCGCCAACCTCGAAGGTGCTGCGCAGGCCATATACGGCGTACTCGAACAAGCCATCGACGGCGCGTTGAATGCCGCGCACGATGCAATGCATATGGACGGACCGCAGGCTATGGCTGCTCTTGCCGAGGCTAATGGCGATGCGAACGTTTACGTCAACAATGCGCACCAAGCCATCAACGTATTCCAGGACAATATCCACGGCGCGCTCCAGATATTCTTTCTCACTGCGCAGCAAGGTACAGCTGCGTTCCCAGCGAACGCTCACGCTCATGCCCAACTTCGGCGCCGCGGTGCCATCATACACCACGGTCAAAACGGTGGAGGTCATGGTCATGGCCACGGAGGCCACGGTCAAGGGGGGGGACATGGTCAGGGAGGAGGTCATGGTCAGGGAGGAGGTCATGGTCAGGGAGGTGTGGCGGGTGCTGTGTAGGGGGCGTTGATGAAAGGTCAGTAGTTGTATCGCAGCTGATAGACCCTTGCCGCACGCTGATTGGACGACTTATCAGAATTTTCACGGATACGTTCAATGGAGAGCAAGTATATTGGTGGAAATATCTTCGATCTAGGGTGCGTGCGCTTTTCCGAGTTCCTTTGCCAATGCTAACTCCTTACATAGAGTTTCAGTTCTCAATCACGTAACTAAATAAAATCTTGCCGTGGCTCGGTTTCTTGTGTAACCCTAGTATTGTATTACGATCGGCTCGACGTCGCGAATAGTTGAAATGTGGGAGTTAAGCGCAAGAACAAACTACGATCGTCACACGTTCCTTCTCCGATACCCGCAATGCTCAAACATATCGCCCCAAATATTGAGGCTCGTGCCCATCGTCAGCGCCGCATCTTGTATTCACGCCCAATATCGACCCTCACCGATGCTGTACTCACGTACCTCATTGCCGTAATAAACCTGGTGACAAGCTTGTACGCCTGGCTTTAGACACGTACATACGTATAATATCAGTAAACGCCAATATAAGTTGCATTTTTCTTGTCAGGTTTTCCTGAGCGCGGCTCCGGGAAACTCGCGGCAAATAATACTTGGGCTCCATTAAGAGTGCGACAGGCGTTCGTGCTGTACAGCGCACCTTGTCCAGTAAATTGTCGCGTCATGCCGGAGCACGGCTCGGCAAACCCCGGTTGGGAAGTGCCTGGACAGGTTTTGAGGGTAGAACCTAGCCAAGCTAGGTGATGGCTTCGGGGAACAGTATGTGCAAACAATCCGCGACCTCAACGCGCGCGGACGAGCAACGACGCCGGATCCTGAGAGTTAGCACGGCGGATGCGGGCGAAGAACCTTGGATTACGGTCGGTTTCTTCTTGCTCTCCACCATCATTCGCCGCCCATGCATAGCTGCGCTTTCGCATACAACAATGCCAATCTCGTACCTACTGATATGTACTCGCGGAGCCGATGCGTTGGGATTGCGTTCGTGAAGTACTCATGACTGTAGGGTTCACTGATCTGCAAGCTCGAGACGGATGCACGCCGTACTTGCCACAAAGTGCCGGCATCTTCGACGATTTGCGATGGGCCGTGGAACCCAAAGAACAAAGCAAGTGGTCTGTACCCGTTGCTCCAGAATTGATTGACCGGCAAAGCCTGTTAGGATGGGAATATCATCGCCCCTTCGTTTGTTCTTTCTTGATGCGCATTTCGAGGATGCTGATCTGCGGGTTCCGATTCTAGTAACTAAAACCTCGAGGCTTGTCGCGGTATGCAATACTCTCCGTCTCTTTGCTTCACAGCGTGTGCTTCAACGCTTCTCCACTCGGAGCTAACCCATGACGAGAGAGTATAAGAGTAGCAGACGGTTACTCTCTATTCTATCAGGGACTTATCGCCATGGATGATGACCTTCCGGCTGAGTCTGGCATGACAGCCCATACCTTCGCTTCCCCTTCAGCCGACTACGACCTCGCTCCGCAGGACGGCGACACAGCGATCGACATGCAGCACTCGTGCACGTTTGAAAGCTTGGCCTTTCACTACTTGACTATCGCAGATAGACTTGCCTCCTGGCCTTCTGCTACGGCCAGCGATCTGCAACTGTTCCGCGATTTTGCTACGGAGTTCAAGTTTCTATCAAAGTAAGCATCCGTCTTATCTAGGTGTTGCGCTTCTTATGCATAGATGACGGTTTAGTGCGCACGTCGGGCAGCCGTGTCGATCGCTATCCGTGACTCCTCTCATATCTGGTATAGCGTACAATCACCTCGCCCGCTTCGCTCTGCTTTTGCGTTCCACCCCAGATGTGGTCATCTCCGCGTGGAGGGATCACGGAGCGTTACTAGTTCGTGTGCTCTCATGGTTAAAAGGCCTCGCGCGTGTCGTACTGGTTGCTGCTTCTCCCTTGACGCCGATATCCCTGCCACTCGTCAGCGAAGAGGTTCAGCTCTTCTTGATGTGCAGCGGCGCCGAAGCGAATGGTCTTTTTGCTCCTTTCAGATTTATTGCTGGTACATCTTCAAGATTCACCGCGCCATCGACGGTTCACCCTGGGCGTGAGTATCTTCTACTTTTGATCCATAGAGTATGGACTAAATCTGTCTTGATACTTGCAGACACTGTCACGCATACTCCGGTCATGACGCTGTGGGAGAGTGATGAAGATGATGACGATGAAGATAGTGACGACGACGACGACACGGCTTCCGATATCTCGTATCTGGACCTTGATGGGCGTCCTCTCTCATCCGAGAGTACTCCGTGTGTCCGCCGGGAGCGCATACTTATTCGATCGGGCGCGCGATGTCTTGACTATGACGAGCGCACCAAGTCATACTCCGGGAGGACCTTTCGTTACTCGGTGGACAATAACGTCATTTTCATCGACCACTCCGACGCTCTCATCTCTCGGCGCCCACCCCCCGGCTACGAGCTTCTGCAGCCTGACGATGACCAGCATATCTCGTGGCGTCAGAGAATCGGCAAGTTCCTCGGCTGCGCCCTCCTGAGCCATGGTGAGCGTGTACACTCCCTTATACGTGACGTTATCTAATAGGACACTCAGCACCGCATATTCAAGACTCTACCACTGCATGGTTGCTTGGTGCATTCCCGGCCAAGTATACTCTCGCCCGGCGCACGGTAGTCCACGAAGTGAATGGTGTAGAGAAGAAACGAACAGACGTGTACTTGTATGGTGTGTCCCTTCTTTGTTTTCCAGTACACAGATACTGAATAGCAGCAATATCCAGGTGGAGTATGTCGCTTTGCATCGCCGGCGGAGTTTATTCCGCATGCAATATGGCTTATGCGCGGCACAGGCCATTGTGCGTGTAAGCACTGCTCAGGGTCATCGCAACGGGACATCTCGTCGATGCTAGAGCAGACGCTTCGACCGACGCACACGGGTAGCTTTCCCGTCGAGTGCTCGCTTCCTTCAGAGGGAGTCAGCCCGAGAGGTGCTAAGCGGCTGTATGATACAGTTCAAGACTTCGAGGCGGGTGTAGGTGCGGCGAATAACCGCCAGGTGAAACGCAGACTTGATCTGGTAGTCTAGATGGCATAGTCGTCGTGTATCGCTGTCTGATACCAGGCTCTGTGCTTCAGTCTTGAGTGGAGTGGTATCGTAGGAGTCAGGTAGAACGCAGCCTTTCACATGTATTCAAATACTGAGAGAGCGGCTCGTGAGCGCTCGCCTTTTAGCCGAATACACCATTCATTGTGCGCGACGAAGGAACTCGGGTGATCAGGGCTGCCGCTTACCAACTTAAACACTCGGCGCATGCCGTTGTACGTGTGCTTTCAAAAGTCAAGCCACCGAGGCGGAGATTGTGTCTCGCAAGTTTCCAAGAATAAGACCCGTTGGCTGCTGATAGTGGGCAGATAATCCCATCATCTCATGCAGGACGGCGGCAATCGCGAGAAGGATGGGGCGGCTTGTCTTTGTTGCGCGGAGTCCACGAACTAATGGAGGCATCGAATCGAGAGAGCCTATTGAGGAAAGTACGGCGTGCATCGTGGGTGAGATCGAGAAGATGTCCTCCTTCGAGCCTCGACAGAGAAACGTGCCCCGACTGTCATGCGCGAGGGAGCACCAGACCAGCCCTGAAGCGAGCACAATCGCGCGTTAAGGTCCTTTACAGGGTAGACTGGCCTATTGATGGCGCAGAGCAAGCACAGAGGCTCAGGCTTATTCTGTGCAGATACCGCCCTAGCATAACATTTGCCTAGTCTGAGCACGGGCCGCCATGAGAGATGATGCATGCATTCCAACTGTTTGCAGATCGTTGGGCCACCCGACTTTCTACACGCACATAGGCATACATCATTTTGCGCCACTTTGTGTACACCGCGGCGTCTCTCAGATATAGGTCACCAATCGCGCCTGGGCCGGGTCTGCGGCTAGCTTGATGCGAAGAAGGTCGCCACGGACGATGGCTGCAACAGCCACCGCCAGCGTTGTCGTATATCTTAGAGAGGTGAAAGGCTTTTTAGCTACGGAGAATGACCAGAGATGCCTTGGAATTCTCCTTGGGCCCAGTCTCCTGCACCAGGAGGGTGTCAAACTTAGCCATCTTCTCGGCGAAGCAATGTTTCAAGCGACTGTGAGCTAGGTTGCAATGTCGATTTCACATTGCTAGAACTAGGCGGTCGAGCTGCGAAAACATAAAACTAAATGGGAACAAGTCCAATACAAGACGAACTGACTGCATACAGAGGAACGAGGTTCGTCCGGGACAATGACAAAACGAATAGTAGCGGTGTCAACGTCAGGGTTTGGAAGCTCGATCCAGAGCCTGTTAGCTTGCTCTATGAAGTCCCTGCGAAGGTAGGCGGTTGCTCGTCGCTTGTTGGGGTAGAGGATGGTGTCGCGAGGGCCCGTGCGTGTCAAGAGCTCGGATGCATTGTTGCTGATCTCTTGGATGAATCATGACGGCACACCACGAGTTCCTGCGTGTATCCTTCTGCGAGGACCAACAATATCTAGACATCCCCGCGACTGGTTAGACATCGGCGGGTGCATTACACTAGCCACGTTGCTCACCTCGCGACGGGCCAGGATCGCACATCAATGCCAGCTCGCGCTGGGACCCTTCGAAATGGGGCGGCACGTTCGGTGGTACATCGATGGAAGCGTGGCTTTGCGCCGCCATGTATGAAGCGCCCACATGGGTTAAGAATGGAGCCGCGTCCGCCACCCGATGTGGCTCCGGCAACGCGCCAAGGGACGGCATGGGTCGCATAGGCTGTTTCCCTTTGCGCCGGCGCCGGACCGGGCTTGCGAGGAAGAAGGCGGTTCGTCGTCTTCCTTCTCAGGTGCAGGATGATCATCGCCATCGGCAGAACGTTGCAACAAAGAAGATGGCACGGCAGACGAGGCAAACGCAGAGGACGAAGGTCATGGTATGGAATCAGAATAGTTCAAAGTGTTGTTATATTCTGAACACGTACGACAGGAGGCGATGCTTGACGGCCATTGGGTGCGATTCGGGATGCGACCAACCGAAAAGATCAAGGCAAGTGCTCACTAAGACTTGGAGGAGGAATCGAGAGGGCCAGAGCGAGCATCGAGCAGGCAAGCACCTTGACGTGAGATCACGCGCGCCACCTCCCATACTGGCGCTTTAGAGCTCGCCTCCGACATCTCCAGGGACTGGCACAGGTACGGAGTCGCCCATGGTACAGCAGTCTCCAGCTCCGATGCCGCTCACTTCTGGTACGCTCGGTACAACAATGTCGGTTTCAAGCGCTTATGACTGTTGTGGATTCCGGGACGGCGAAGAGCCTGGTGGTGCTGTGATAGATAATGTTGCAAGAATCTGCGAGGGATGGATTGAGGAAGTCGCTTATTGGAAGTATCGTCCATGTGCCCGAAGTGGAACGGTGTTTGACATGACTGACGAGGAGCTTTGCATCGCAAGACCGCGCATCGAGAGTGGTCGTGTAGCAGGCCGAGCGACCGACATCATGGCAGAAGACGAAAGACGCCCATGTATCGCGTTGACCGAGATTCGTCTAGTGATGGTCAGTCGAGTCAAGCGGTGTCCTGAGCTTGAACGTGCGTACTGAATACTGGGTACCCGCCGCTGTTGCCGCTGGGATCGTTCTATTGACAGCGCCGGCTATCACCAGCGCTGGTCGTCGCTAGTGCTGGCCGTCGCTGGCGCTGGCCGTCGCTGGCGTTGACCCGCATCTCTGGTGCCTCGTTGCTTCGTCGCTGGCGCTGCGCCGCCTCGCCGCTGGTGCTGCTCTGGCACAGGCGCCGACGCTGCTCTGACGCTGCTCTGACGCTGCTCTGACGCTGCGCTGCGGCCATCAGCGCGCGCTGGCGCTCCCGCTGCTCAGCGCTTCTGGAAAAGACAGGTTGTAAACTTAAAGTGCTCTCCGTGTGGGAGCGCGAGGAATAGAGTACAAAGACACAAAGAATCGGATGCGGGAAGTCTCGGGCCGGAGATCATTGTGATAAAACACGCCTGTCGTGTTCTTGCGGTGTCTATACTGAGCACAAACGAATAATAGCAGTCGGCCAACGCCGTTCTCACGACACGACGTACGTTTTAAGGGACAGATAGGGAATTGCCGGGATCCATCAAAACAAATTAGACCAATTTGAGGAGCTCAAGTACTTATCGCGCATGCAAAATAATATTCGCCTCCAGGCCGCGTCACGGCAGGAGACATACGATTCATGCAGGACATGACGAGGCGGAGCGTCAATTAGACCTGTACTCAAACAACTATCTACGCGTGCTCTCAGGTACGACAATCTTCGTACAATTCATCTTATACAGGCCTTATCTCTGACAACACGCGGAGGACAGAAGTAATCTCATCTCAATTTCAATTATCTACTAGCCGGGTAACCACTAGGGAATGCCCCCAGTGTACGTTCGCATGTCGTAGTGAGCTTTCGGGGGTACTTCCTGCTCTCAGCGCGAGTTGCATTGATGAAGTCACTGTAGACGAGATCAAAGTTCTGTTGTGCAACCTCGAGGCGTCCGCTGTCGTTGTAAGCTAGGTATGCAGTCGCTTCGGCCAGCCCATAGAAGCTACATGGATGTTATGTCGGCAACCCGAGCGCACGGGGAGGATAATAAGGGTGCGTACATGACGTCTCGGGTAGAGTTCTGCGATCGGAGACACTCAAAATCAGGATGGAATGAATGGAAGAAGGAGTGCTAGTACGGACTTCGTTATATAGACCGGAAGTTGCGCGGTTGTCCTCATAAAGAGACAGTGTGTTGCCAATGACCTGCTTTTTCCAGGAGCTATTGCCGCTGCGATAGTCCTGTAGTGCGAAAGCAATGGCCATATTCGACCCGGTTTCATAGAAGATATTGTCTGTCAAAGCGGTGACGAATCAGAGTCAAAGGATATGCGGATTCGGGTAATCACGTACCACTGGGTATCCCGAGTGTAGGGTCTATCCTTCTCACTACCTCATTGGCAGATCCCCATGCGGCATTTAGGCGCTCAGCGCGACTAACATTGGAAGTGGTATCCTGCGAGTGGGTGCAGGTCAGTAGGTGTCGCGCAGATGAGCGTCTGAAAGACGAACCACCCATGCAGAGGGAATGGTGAAGTCCTGGGCGAAGGATCCGCATGGGAAGCAGAGGAAGACGAACGAAAGAGCGTATAGGGCCGGTGTCTCAAGATGCATGGGCACCAGAGGCCTTTGGGCAGGGTAGGAACACCGAAATCAGGGGGGCGAAAGACGGTACACGATGCGTGGGGTACGCTCTTTAAGTTGGCCCAGGTGCCAAGTTTCCATGCGCTTCTGTCATCAAGCCTGTGGCGGCCTCGGTCGCATTGCTTGAAGTCTGAATTGGAGATGATCAAGCGTGCCGTGCGATAACGATGTAACGTTCGCGTTGCGGCGCGTATTCTCTCGACCTGTAGTCGCCATCACTTCTGGGTATCAACGGAAGCTTACTGTACTTAGCAACTACACGTTCTTATGGGTATGAGAAGATGAGAACCTACTCACGGCTGCGTCGCAAGAACAGCGCCGGAACTACATTCGGCTGTCGGCTTGCATTTGTCCCCACGGAATTCTGATCATCGCCGTGATGCAAGATGTAGATGTCTTCAACCCTGATCTTGCCAGCCATTTGTCTGACAGTTCTCAATGCATGACATGACGGAACCGTAGGCACAGAGACCACGTACCCATATCACCGACGTATGCCGAGATGTGTGATAGATAGCGCGAGTAGACGGACATGGTCCTCCGGACGCATGTACACGAGCGCGTCAAGTGCGCGCAGCCACTAAGTTGACTTTGACAGCAGGAATCCGCCGTGTCGCAAGAGTCCCGCGGGCTGTACTAGCCGTACGATGGGCATTGAGTGTTCTGAGACGCGGGCTGTCGCACACGCGCTGCTGCATACGTTGACGCGGCCGAACGGTCCGTCGCGCGTACCCTTCACTACCTGCTGGATACGCATCATCACACACGTATACGGTGTTGAAACAGCGTTTCGTGCGTGTTCGGGGCATCAGAGCGATACATGTAGCGTAGTACTAGGTAGCACATGCGAGCAGACCCATGTCATTTGTCCAGTCCGAGGACCATATGCGGGAACTGGGTGGTGCGAGTAAGTCTATAGGCATTGTATCAGCGCACTATACTTCTTAAGGAATGATGATAGCTAGAGGGGAGGACAAGGGTAAGAGCGTACCAGATTGGCTCCTCCAAGTCTCCGGGTCCGTCATTCCGGTCAAAGCCGATGCGTATGCGTATTCAAGCGCCGGTGCGCCCCGTCAGATGCGGGACTTTCTCATCGGCCAGCTTGACCGTCGTGAAGACTCTCGTTCAATACCGATGCCAATGCCTATTGAATCGTCGTCGCCTCGTCAGTGTCAGATCACTGACTGATTCCCGCATGCTGTCGCATAGCTTCATGAGAGAGTCGGACACGTGAGGGGGCGGAATTCATGATGGCGACGGTGAGCGCGAGAGCCAAGACGTGCTCGAACGCGAACGACGCGCGAAACGCACTTTGCCTCTGACGGTCACTGGCTACCTATGCCTAGACACGCAGGCTCTGCCATCAATAAGCCCGTTGACGAGGACACCCGGGATTGTAATTTCTTTGTTGAATACCCCGACATGTGCAATATGATATGTCCAACAGCATTCGTTACCAAGCTGTGATGGAATGCCGCACCCTGGCACGATCCGCTGCTTGCCCATGAGCGACAGTGCAGGCCTAGTATGGTCGTTCTTCTCGACTGCCCCCCTCTCCAAGCCTCATTTCAACTCGCCATGGGTCAACTCAATGATTCTCGGCCATTTGTCTACCGTATTGACGCTCCCTGTCCTCAGTGCCGGGTCTTCTGTACGTTGAACCTTGTCTATATGCCTTTCATGCGACGTATTGCTAGATCTATGCATATGCCATGATGTGTACGAAGCTGTCTTCAGGGACATTGTTGGGCCTCACAGATCTCCAAGGCTCTACTGTCGAACGGTGACCGGAATACATAGGCGACCAAGTGGGAAATTGAAGCTTGAAGAAAGAGGAAGCAGGACGGTGAATCGAAAGAACGATTCGGGTATACTCTTGTCCGCGCAGAACGCCCATCTCAAGCCCCGCGCACGCCATATCTAGACCGCTCTGACAAAGCTCAATGTCAATAATGGCAAATGATGAAGACGGTTTCAAGGAAAGGACAAACGCACTGCACTACGGGGGCCCTTCACCGCCTTGCGGGTGATTGGTGCTGTGTCTGACGTACTCTGGTGGGCTACTTTCGGTCTCTCCCTGGTTGGCCAGCGTGTGAATCAGGTTATCCAACCTCCTCTCTAGTATCATGCTCCTTTCCAGAGCTTGCTGCGCGTCGACATCGCCGACGGTGGACCTCATCGACCCAAGTAACGAGGTATCTTCTGCGGTATTCTCAAGGGAGTGGGTCGGTTCGCTGGCCATGTTGTCGTTGTACGGCCGGTGCGAGCTCGCCGCGTGCTGTCGAGTACCTCCTTTCTCAGGTGGGGGCCCATTGGGCATTCTTGCGATGAATGGGTCCGGAGTATATGCTACTGCCGAAGGTCCGAATCTCTCGCGCGTTCGCCTGCGACGGCGCAGACAGAGGCATACGCCGAGGGCGAGAACGGTGAACATCACAGCTCCACCGATCGTGCCGCCAATGATGCCGCCGATTGGGATCGACGTATGCTGGGATGGTGGACTTGACGAGGCCGGGGAAGATGGACTCAACGTAGCTAGGGATGATGGACTAGCCGAAGTCGAGAAAGAAAGACTTGACGACGACGACGATGAAGACAAAGGAATTGACGAAGCTGCAGACGGTGTAGAATTCGTGGCTGCTTCAGAGCTATCATCTATCGAGTCAGAGAGCTCCTCGTTCATTGTCTAGCAAGCACGCACGTCGGTGTTATTGCGACAGCGGCATTGAGCACGTCCAAAGCCGCCAAATTCCCCTCAGTGGTGTAGTCCGTTGATCCATCGCCGAGCCAAGAGCTTTTGTAGTTACTAGTTTCGGCTATGTGGGCATTTTTTGTCACAGCATTATACTGAACTCATGTATGACATGAGCTATGGCCGAAGAAGCATAGAGCGCCTTACCTGAATGGTGATGTACGCATCGATGAGAGCAGTCATGTTGGAGTTGGTCGGATTCCTCAGTCTCGCTTCTAACAGGCCACGGATCACTGTTCCTGTAGAAAGATTGGAAAACGCCATGTCGCGCCCAGTATTGCAAGATGCCTTACCCTTCGAATAGGCTGAATCTAAATTGCCATCGTTCAACATCTCGTGAACATGAGTTGTAGGAGGTACTTACCTTCGGTGAGCACCCCGTTGTTATCGTGCCATTCTGGGACAGCGACGGTCGACGGCACCAAATTGTACAACCTGTGGTAATTGGGGTCAACCCAAGGACCAACCGTGCACTGTTATGAAAAGACTGCGTGCATTTGCGCATAGGTATCATTCTTGGTGATATTGGCGACGATGCTCAGCCCCTCGATATATGGACCGATATCGTATGCCATCGGTGTGGCGTCCGAGAACGGGTTGCAATGAACGACATCGAACTGGTCGGAAACGAGTGCGCTTGGGAGATTCGTGTTGATGATATGTGTCTGCATGAACTGGATCGACTGCTCGGCCGTGGCGAGATAGGTGGCATTCTCCGGTACGACTTCCGCCAGACGGGCAGAGAGTCTGTACAGGCTTGAGTTAGCGGAAATAGGTGACGGGCTTAGATAGTCGAAGCGACTGACGCCACCCATAATCTATCACATCATGGGAATCATGTCAGAACCCAGCAGCCATATGGAGGATGAACAGTCCATACCCTATCGTCACGCTCAGGACAACCAGTTCAGTATTATTCTGCGGCTGCGCAAAACGAGTCACGTCAGATAACAACAGTGGTGACGAGGATTTGGCATACGTTGAAGATTAGGCCACCGAGTGACGCTGCGCCATGACGGGGTGGCCTAAGGAGTCAGCAGATGATGTGAGGCACTGCAAACTCACGTCCGCATGGTGTGGTGAACACTCGAGAATATGTGCCACTAGCGGCGGCGGAAGCGGTTATGACGTTGCTGTAGACCATATCGAAGTTTCGCTTCGCCAAGACAAGCCGACCATCATCCTTATATGCGAGGTAGGCTGCCATTTCTGCAAGACCATAGTAGCTGCCAAGGATATCGGTCAGTCTCGACCAGACTCGGATTTCGTATGCACCCCGCGGCGTACATGATATTGTAGGCGGAAGTCTGCGTCAGACGTGTTGGCATCAGGCTTTGTCCGATCATCAAGATTGCATGTACTCACCGTGTCCACGAGTTCAGTGTTGCCTCTTTCATACAGCCTCAGCGTGTTGTCGACAACCTGGTTCTGCCGGAAAGCGTTGCCATTGCGATAGTCCTGGTATGCAAAAGCTATAACCATGTTGGAACCAGTCTCATATAGGGGCTTATCTGTGCATTCCCGTTTCATCACAAGGTTTGCTTCACCAAATAACGCGGGACGTACCGAGCGGGATCCCATACGAAGCGTTGATCGCAGATTGAACTGCGTTGGCGGCTCCCCAAGCTGCATTCAAGCGCTCTGTGCGGCTAGCAGATGACGTAGTATTCTGCGACAGTCGATTATAAGCTTGTGAGGCATCCCGATAGACATCGTGGGACGACTAACCTGCCAACCAGGAGGGATTGAAAAGTCCTGGGCATAGGCGTTGGATAACGAGGGTAAGAATAGTGCGAGCAAGGAGAGGGGCGACATGAGCTCCAGCAGTCGAAGGGGCAGGAAGCCGGGATGCGGGAGATGCCCTGGACCGCGAGATACCCAGCTCACGCCTTATATCGGTTAGCAATGAAGGCATCTGACCCGCGAACTCCTATAAGAGGACACTTAGATGAGAACGTATCTATGTCTCCGAACTTGTGCTGCACAATACCTTAGTTACTCGAAGACTGCATCGATTGTGCCAACCGGACGTACCGGCCACAAAGTACAGTGGCGGAAGGTTAAGCTCTTGGAGCCGATGTAGTTCGTCGCTGGACTGTGCTAGGGCCATGCACTTGCGCAAAAAAAAACGACGCAGAACTGCGACAAATGTTTAGTAGAGTGGATTGGTACTATGACAGTTATCTCTCTTTGCGCCCGCAAGATCCTGATAATCGCATCCTCACTCCAGCAGCAGTAATGGTCCGTGACCTGTTGGACGGAGATCTGGCAGAGCTAATTGAGGAAATATCAGAGAGATCGAAGAGCAGGCGAACGCAAGCCGTGGCCAAGAACAGACATACGGCAGCCTAATATGCACGCCACCGCATGCACGTATACGATACTCGTGTACAGCATCGGTGAAAGCGGTACCCATCGATACGGGCGTGTTGCTTTAACAGGGTTCTGTCAAATCCTCGAATCAGTTGGGGCATTCGTCTCCACGGGATTCTGATCATCGCTATGATGCACGATGGAGATGTCTTCAGCCACGACCTTGCCAGCCATTGACATAACAGGACTCAATGCATGATGAAAACCGTAGGCACAAGGCCACGTACCCATATCGCCGACATATGCCGAGGAGCGGGCCATATAGCGCGAGTAGATGGGACGGGTCCTTTGGACGGCATGTACACGAACGCGTCGGGTGCGCGTAGCCACTCAATGGCGGGAACTTCGGAAGGCAGGAGTGCGCCAAGCCGCGAGAGTTCCGCGGACGGTCAGGTCGTCAGCCACGCGAAACCTTCACCACCTGCTGGATACGCCTCATCGCACGCGTAGACCGGGCTGAAGCATCGTTGGCGCGTATTCAGGGAATCGGTGCGATACATATTGCGTCATAGTTGGTAGTACATGCGAGCAGACCCAGGTCATTTGTCCAGTACGAGTAATTGCATGTTCTACGAGATTCCCGTATGTAAACGTCGAGTCCTTGCAGCAGCGCATCAGATCATATGGACGAAGAGTGATATGGACAAGAGCGCACCACATTGGCCTCTTCACCCAGCTGCGCATCCGTGCTCAAGCAACGATCTGACCCATCAGATACGCTCTCGCAATGTCCACCTCCGCCTCTTTCTCGGAAATTATCGCGAGGACGGCCACCTCATGACAGTAGGGTTGGGTGGAGAGCGTCAAGCAAGCCAAACGCTCGCCGCAAGTCTCGGGCGTCGGCCCGGTGCGCACGTGCGAACGTCTTCCTTTCGGCATTTTTCACGCTGAATTTTCCTTCTTGTCCTCAACGTCAACCTCGTCTTCGCCCATCTTTGGCGTCCATGTTAGGTGAGCGCTCGTCTCTCCGACTCTATCTTAACGGCTCTGCCGCTCCGGATGAACATATCCGAAATTTAGGAAGTGCCGTCTGAAGGGCGTCCTCGGACGTTCCGAAGTCGATCTCGGGTTCTCTGACTCTCCTTCTCATTGTCTACTGCCGTTGGTGATCATCATTCTGACCACGATCAACAGGTGTTGTGCTGTATAATATATACTCGAGGCGTATGATGCAATATATGATGGTTCGCCTAAGGCCGTGAACGGTGCTCTTCGTGTCATGTGCACCCGCTGGGCGCAGAGTGAAGCAGTATATAAGCTACGTCGGGCAAGGGCCGGAGAGCACAGCGTCCTTGGTCATGGAACGTGATGAGCTCAGTATTGAAGAGAGGAGATGTAGCAATATTCCCACCGGATTGCACCTCGAATGACATCTGATGCGGTGTCGCGCCAGTGATCCTCCCAGTCCTTGGCGGTCACGCTGCTCAGTGCTGAAAAACGTCCTCACGAAGCTACCCGAGCGCTGTCCGAGGCATATTGGTACAGCGTCACATGACTATGATCAATGGCGAGTACTTGCGTCTACCCGCCTGAGATGAACGTCTACAGTCTGCTATATAAAGCTGCCTAACGGCATATCCTGAACGACAGCAAACAGTACATCTTCGCTCTCACAAACTGAGTCCAAACTTACAACATACTCGATTTTTTTCAACTTTGCACCAGCTACCATCTATACAATATGACGAACCCTGCCTTCCCACCTGCCGGCTACTCCGAGGACATCGTCCGTCGCGTCCGCGTGCTGTTTGGTGGCAAGTACGTCGCCGACGCGCCCAGGCCCAAGCTTGTGTATGTATAACCTCTTGTATGGCTTTCCGTGTACTATGTGTGCTGATCCTCTGCTGCATAGCTGGGAGCAATCGTGGTACCCCGTAAGTCTCCCTCCCACTTCGCAACGCTGCCTTGTTGACTTTCGCTTTGAACAGCTCTACTATTTCCCCAAGGATACGGTCTCGAAGGAGTACCTCTCCAACGCCCAGAAGTCATCCGACGGCTCGAAAGTCAAGCATGATCTCGTGGTCGGCTCCAAGACGTCCCAAGGCGCCGTCACTGTCTTCGAGACGGGCGACTTCGCCGGGTACATTCGCATCGCGTTCGATGCTGCCGACGCGTGGTTCGAGGAGGATCAGAGGCTCTACGTGCACCCCAAGGACCCGTACAAGGTTAGTGATCGTCCAATATGCATTAAGTGACTTGGTGACTGAACGCTGGGTATAGCGCGCCGAGGTCCTCCCGAGCTCGAAGCATATCCGCGTCGAAGTTGACGGCGTCGAGGTCGCCAACACCAAGTCGAGCCAGAGGCTCTACGAGACGGCTCTGCCCGTGCGGACTTACATTCCCTTCACGGACGTGCGCGTCGACCTACTCTCGCCGTCCGATGAGGTCTCGAGTTGCCCGTACAAGGTTTGTCTCTCACAGCGCTCACACAGATAGATGACTGATGAGGAACGCCTTGCTAGGGTGACGCGAACTACTTCGACATCAACCTCCCAGACGGCAAAGGCAAGAAAGAAGGCTTGGCGTGGTACCACAAGTTTGCGGCGCTCGAGAGCGCGCCCATCGCTGGACTCGTGGCGTTCTACGACGAGAAGGTCGACGTCTGGGTTGATGGAGTCAAGCAAGAGCGCCCCAAGCCTGCCTTCTGAGCCAGCTGAGAAGCTAGGGTGCATCTGATTGACAGTCGAAGTAAGGATGTAGTGGTGAAGTACGAGTTGACTGGCGATGGCATCTGGTTCTCTATGGAGTGGTATATCTGTACTTTTAGACTGGCATATGTCTGCATGATGATGATGCGCTATACACGGTGACCACAAAATACGAGGGGTGTAGTGAGTTGGAACCCGGGTCAGTAGTAGCTTTGAAACGTGGCGTAAGTTATCGAGTCGGGGCAGTGCGTCTTAAGGTGTAAATAGAAATATGACCCAAACCATGGACTTGCACAAGGCTCACATGGTGGTCTCACCCCTGTTGGTACTGATCGCGCGCGCTTCTTTACTCCGCGTTTATCAGGTGATCGCGGTCTGGTCGCAAGTGACGGTCGCGCGCGTCGACTTGGACGACGCGATCCTAGGCCTCAACTTAGACGATCAACTGAAACGCCCTTACCGTCTTCTCGTCATTAGGGAGCTGCTAGGCATCTGAGCACTCTACTCAATACTCGTGCTCTTCGTCTTCAGTTGACAAGACCGGGTGCACGCTACCAATTCTGTCATCGAACGCCCAGTTGGCCCGCGAGAGGATTTGGCGCAACTACAGTCTACAGGATGCTAGCTCGTGCAAGGGCTTAGCGGAGGCGGCGGGGGAGTCCGAATGTTGTACTGATTCTTGAGAGAACCACTACACCCACCATACTTCCTTCCATCCGGAGCCGTCAAGGTTGACTCGAAGGACGTGTTGTGTCATCCAGACCAGCAACACTGCTGAATAAGACGTTCACAAGCGGTTCCCAAGAGCACTTCGATCCTCCGGAGGCGCTAGTACCATCACGCATTGTACGGCGTCACCTGCCGCGATAGCTGACTGTTGTCAATGCCTCGATGGCGAGCAATTGAGCACCTCCGCGCTTCCGCCGTGCTATAAAGACTTCAGACTTCAAGAAGTGCTCGCAAGGTTCCTCTCACCCGTCACTCCCAATCTACTCTATCTCTACCCATCATGCCCAGCCCGCCTTTCCCTCCACCCGGTTACTCTGAAGATGTCTTCAGACGCGTTCGTGTGCTGTTCGGGGGAAAGTACGTCGCCGATGCACCCCAGCCAAAGCTTGTGTATGTTCCCTCGACCGATCCTTATATCGCATGTGCCGTTCTAACAATACGCGTCTAGTTGGGAGAACTCCTGGTACCCGGTACGTTGCATGGTCTTCATGAATGCTCAAGGTACATCGCTGACTTTCTTGACCGCCTCATATAGATCTACTACTTCCCTCGCGATACGGTTGCCCAAGAGTTCCTCCAGAACGCTCAGCAATCGACCGACGGAAAGTCCACCTACGATCTTGTAGTTGGTGACAGGAAGTCTGAGGGTGCCGTTACGGTGTTTACCGACGGCGACTTCGCCGGCTTCGTCAAGATCACCTATGGGAGTGCGGACGCTTGGTTCGAAGAGGATCAGAGGATCTTCGGGCACCCGAAGGACCCATACAAGGTACGGCACCCCATGTCTACTAGCCTGAAGATCTTGCAAGGGTGCTCACGCATCACAATAGCGAGTGCTGATTGTCCCAAGCTCCAAGCACATCCGCGTCGAAGTCGATGGTGTTGAAGTTGCGAACACGACGTCATCGCAAAGGCTATACGAGACGGCTCTGCCAATACGTACCTACATCCCGCTCAAGGATGTACGCGTCGATCTCTTGACTGAATCGAAGCTTGTGACCAGCTGTCCATACAAGGTAGTGCCTACCCAAACTCTTGTGAGTGCCCGAACTGAATACTCCATATCAGGGCGACGCGAATTACTACGATATCAACCTTCCGAGTGGGAAGAAAGAGGGATTGGTGTGGTGGTATAAGTCTCCGACTCTGGAGAGCGCACAGATTGCGGGCCTCGTTGCGCAGCCGCAAAGGTCGGGCCTTAAGAAACAGGCCAACCCGAGCACTCATTCCATTAAAAAACACATGTATTAAAAAACCGTACTAGTCGTATTGGCAGTAAAAGTACAGGTGCTGTGCATGCGAATCCGTGTTAAAAAATCGAGGGGAGTCGGTTAAAAAACAAGTTGAGTGTCAAAACGACGCGGCGAGTCTAACATCAGCGGGTTAAAAAACAGGAATGTGTGGCTTCGCAGTCAGAAAACCGTGTACAGGTAAGAGGGCGCCCGGTTAGAAAACAAGGCCTGTTAAAAAACCGACGCCTGTTAAAAAACCGACGCCTGTTAAAAAACCGACGCCTGTTAAAAAACAAGACCGGGTCCAAAAGGCGAGCAGGCGATTAAAAAACAAGAGGGGTTAAAAAACAAGAGTGATTAAAAAACAAGGACGGTTAAAAAACAGCGTGACTCAAATGACAATACGAATCACAGAGTGATCATGAGCAATCACAGTCCAAGTCGAAGATAACTGCTATCACACCAACCTGAGAATCAGTCAGCACGTATCCTGGCAACACAGGACACCGAAAGACTCGTACCAATCAGTCCGACGCCAACAGGCTATGCCAACCCTGCCTAGTCTTTCTCTTCATCCTCTTGAGCTCCGCCCGTTCCTCATCGCCTGGGATCGCCACCAGCGCCGCCGTGCAGATACCATCCAGCCGGTGATCCTTCATGAACGCGCGACCCTCTTCCCTCGCTTTGCCGAACTGCTGCTCCCACAGCGATGCTTGTCGGCGCCGAATCCAAGCCTGTTGCAATGCATATGCCCGTACCCCGTTCGCCCAAGCTTCGTCGGCATCCCAAGCCCCGCGCGCGTCGGCAGCGAGCGACAACCGCAGCTTTGTCGCCCAGAGTGCGAACCGCCCGTCGCGCTGATCCAGAGCTCCTGCGCGAGCGAGTGCCCCAGTCGCTTCGACCGCGCCTGTGCTTCTTGAAGACGCTTCGGCCGCGCCATCCGGCTCCGAAGACTCGGGCGTAACACCATCCAGGATGGTGGAGTAGCACCTCGCCTCCCAGATACGCGCGACCGACTCGTTGAAGCGCAGAACGCGTCCCATCTCCTCATCCACGAGCCACACTTCCTCCACCCAGTTCCGCGCGCGAGCGCGGTTCTTGAGCCACTCCAGCATGAGTTCTGCAACGGTGGGTTAGATGGTGCACCACGCGTATGACGTCGAGACTCTCTCACCGTCTGTGATCTTCAGTCCATCGCCGTCCTCCGGGTTGCCCTTCCTGTACCAGATCCAAGGTAACTTGTACTTGGTTTCGCCGGATGATGAGCTTCCCTTCCGTAGCGCTACGAACTCGCGAGCCTGCTTGACCGACATGCCCTCGATCTGTTCGATGAGACGGTCGCCCAGCCCGCGGCAATCGCTGTCCGCCAGCGTCCTCATCGTCTTCTGCCAGTCGCCAGGGCCCACGAGGTTGAAATACGCCGAGCGGTGGCGCCTGTACGCATTGGCCGCGGCCTTGACGTTCGCATCCACTGCGTCCTGCGCCGTTCTCGCGCGCGTGTTCGCCCTTTGGCCGGAAATGTTGAGGATCTTGAACCTGTTCAGGCACCCACGCAAGCGTAGCTGGTGCATCAGGTTCTCCAACTCGTCCGACATCGCCGCCCACCGCACACGGATCTCCAATGCGCGTAGGGAGCCCGGGGAACAGTCGTCTGTGGCGTGCAGGTCCGAGGGTAGCCAGAGCTTCATCGCCAGCGCCGTCGCACGCTCGGGATTACGCTCCTCGGTCGTGAGCGTGGCGTGAAGTCGAGGCATCAGTTGCTCCTGCTCGTCGCGAAACCGTTCGATCTCCCGTACCAAAGCGTTCAGCGCCTTGGTCCTGGTCGTCGTTTGAGACAGAGTATCCCCGTTCTCGTCTTGTTTCTTGTCCAAGCGGTACCTAGGGCGATATCAGTCCCATGAATGCGGCGCAGGAGACTAGAAGGTACGTACTGGTCGTTCTCGATCTGTAAAGCGCGCAGGAGGAACTTCGCCTGCGCAACGGCTTCATCTACGTCGACGGCTGTGACGGTGTCGCTCCCAGGCCCATCCATGCCATGCCCATCATCTCCGTCATCTTCGTACTCCTTAACGTCGACGGCGGCCGGCAGCACGTAGTCATCCCCGTCAGTCCGGGGCGCCTTGCGTTTGTTGTTGATCCGGGTAGCGTTGCCGCCGACGTCGTTGGCAGCGCCGGCGCCGACATCAGCACCCGCAGTCACGATAGGCGGGCTACTCTCCGCCACACCAGCATCTCCGACGGTCGGGTTGACAGTCTCCACGTCCTCCTGAGCGGGCTGCGCCGGCGTTGAAACGCCCTCCACATCCTCTGACGCGCCCTCCATGCTCGGCGACGGCGTCGCATCGTTCTTCTTTCCCTTCCCGTTCTTCGCCGCATCTTTCTTCCCAGCCCTCTTGCTCGCCGCATCTTTCTTCCCAGCCCTCTTGCCCTTCGCACCACTCTTGGCGACCTTCGACTTGACGGTATTTGCCGCGTCCTTGTCCAACGCCGCGTGCAAGCTCGAAGACGCACCGCTCGCACCTGCGGCGTCGGCTATGCCTGCTTGGGAAGCCAACGTCGTCGTCGCGTGTCCCTGAGCGAGAACAGTTTCGAGCTGTATCTGCTTTATAGTGGCCGCTATACAATCCTCAGTTTGCGGATACATCGAGCAAGACGGTCTGCTTACATTTTTTCACAGGCTGGTAGGGATTCTTGCTCTTCTTCGGCTTCTCCTCCCAGTTCTCCACCTTCTTCGTCCATATCTCCACCGCTTCCGGCTCTTCAGACTTGATGGCGTCTGTGAATTCGGTGAAGATCGCGCTTTGCGTGCGACCCTCCATCACCGCACGCCACATACGCTCCGCGAGAGAGATGCCTGTACATTTCGTTAACACACAGGGCGCCGTTGCAGGGCTTGGTCACTCACCCATCCCGCACACTTTCACCCAGTTCCACGACCCGCAAATATCATCCATCGTGTCGTGCATCGTACCGGGACCCATCTCCCGCAAACTAGAGGCAGCGCCGTTCGTCCCGGACCAGCACCGCTCACAACCTTCTCCATCCAACGCGCCCGTGCCGATAGTCCAGCCGATCGCATAATTGATCTGACATAGCAGCTTGTGGGCGTAGAGATGGAACTTAGGGACGCAGAACAGCGCCTTGTCCTTGAGGATTAGGTCCAACATCGCCATCGCGCCCGCATAGATCTCGCGCTGAGCAGGGATCTTCTCCAGACGCTCGTGAAGCTTCTTGTGCCATTGGCACGCTATGTCGTACGTGACCAGCACGGTAGGCGCGCGACTGTGCTTCATCGCACCGCAGAAAGCGTAGTCGACGCTGACGTAGCTAGACGGCAGCAAGATGTGAGGGTAGGCGCTAAGTCTTTGTAGGTCCACACGTACCGTTCGCCCTTGCGAAGAGTCGTGATGCCGTTCGGCTGCCAGAACTCGTGCTTGCAGGTGCATGCCGCCATGCCCGTCGTTCTCAGCCCCCGGCCCGCCTTCATGTTGGCCTGATTGATGGCTCCGAAGCGCGAGCAATCGCTGGGCTATACATGATTGTCAGCCCGACGTAAAAGTAATAAGCGTGATTAGGAGTCACCTGTTCGATCTCCTCCTCGTCCATCTGAACGAGATGAGCGCGATAGTCCTCAGCAGGCGGCATATAAGCGCATCCGTGGTTGAGATACGGATCCGTCTTGTTGCTGGACTTCGAGAGGCGATTCGACAACCGGAAGTTAGCGTCAAGCGAGTACGTGGCACGATTCAGCCATCTGACACGCGCGCGCGTCAGCACACGTTGGGTCGTGAGTACGCCAAAGAAAAGGGGCGTACTGTTGCGCTCGAGAGGCCCATCCTTTCTCCAAGTTCATATCTTTGTCCGGGCACGCAGGGCAGCGAACGGCACACAGCCCCGACGGCGTACCCTTGATACCGCCCGGCTCGTGTCCGCGCCCCGCGCGCATGAAGAGCATTATGTGGCGGTACTCGTGGATGGACGTCATGAACTGTTGACGGAAGTCCTGCGCCGTCCCGTAGCATTCAGTACACGCCAGTAGTCTTCAGTTTAGATGGCGAATAACTCACGGGCAGCTCCCGGAGCCCTGCGCCGTCCGTCTTCGAAGAGGCCGCACGGTGGTAGTCGTACGCAGTCAGTCGCCCCAGGTTGGAGAGCCGAGTGAAGTCGTCCAGCGCCTGTAACGAGGTAGCACTTTGCGGATTCTCGATTGTAGAAGGCCAAAGCCCGCGCCGGAGCAGCTGCACGTATCGCGGCGTATCCTTGCCCAAGTCGCAGTTGCAAAAGTCGACCCGTATACGACAGAGCCCGCTGGTGTGGAGTATCGTAAAGTTATCGACGTGCGAAGACTCGCGCCATCGACACGCCTCGCCGGGCCGATGTCCTAGTTGAATGCAGAGCCCGAGGTCTGCAGGATCCAGCCGTTCGGGTCTGCCAGCACTGTGACGCTGCTTGGACATCAGTAATAGGTCGCGGTCATCAACTGGCCTCGACGCACGAATATGGGGTGCAGAGGTTGATACCGGTGCCACTTGACGATGCAGTCGCGGCACATGTCCGCCGCTTCGCATTCACCGCAGCTGTATTCGGGACGCCCGGCCGAGCCGCAATCTGGACAAGTATCCAGGTCGAACGCGTCACCCTGGCCCTTGCGTCGTATCATCTCGCGCAAGAACACGTCGTCCTTCTCCAGCCAGGCGAGGATAGGGTGGGCCTGGCTTGGCCGTCAGTTCCGAACAGTGTGTACAAGCGCGTGAGACCTCACCGTCTCTAACTTGCGCTTCTGCTTCTCGAGCGGGGTATCCGCGTCTTCTTCCGCATGCGCGCTTGAAGCTTCGAGATCGTCGTCCACTTCAGAAGCGAGCTCAGGCGCCTCGCTGGTGACAACGCTCTCGGCGTCTTCTTCGGCAGAGGGACGAGCTACAAGTAACATGAGCAGCCGTTCTCCAGGAGAGATGGACCGACACTCACCTGAGCGACCTGCATCGCTCAAGAGCGGAGGTGCGACGCCGAGAAATTGTTTGGACAGGGCGGATCGAAAATCGGACTCGGTCACCGTACCCAGGTTGCTTTGGAGAACAGTCACACCAGGCGCAGGAGCCGACTTGGCCGTTCGCGCATGAGAGAGCGAGCCGGGTACGGAGAGCTCATGTCCACGCCCAGTGGAACCCAAAAGACCGTGAACGATTGCACTCGACTGGCCTTTGGTCAGCTTGATACGCTTGGGCTTGGGTGCACGAGGAGTGCCAGACGCAGAAGTTTTAGCCATAAATAATAATAAGAAAGAGAACGGGAAGAGCGTCGAGGCAGGGCTGATGAGGGAAGAGAGGTGAACTGCGCGGAGAAGCGCGAGCGCCACACTGGACGCGACTTGTCACACTAAACGTTACGATGTTTGTTGATCAATCAACGAAGTCTCGTGTATTCGCGGTCAGGTGATTTTCAATCAACTTTACATACACACGCGGCCTCGTTTATTTACATAACCGATGCGCAAACCCTACACTTGTACAGCAGCCAGTTGTGTTCATCCTGTATGTACGTTTGAGCCTCCTCCACTTCCCCGCCTGTCATGAGACCACCGAATTCGCCGCCGCCGCCTACTTGTATGCGAGCGCGGAAGCGCGTTTTGAAACCTTCGCCATCCGTTAAGCCGATCTCGCCGTCTTGCGCCAGCGTCTCCAACTTAGCCCGCTCAACAGCGTCCGTGGCACGGCCCCAAGTCTTGACGGGCACGTCCGCGCGGATCCAGACCCCACGCGCCGCTGGTAGAAACTCGGCCGCGTCCAAGTTTGGCTCGCGTCTGATTGGAGGTCCCTGCGCTTGCCCGCCGTTCCAATTCACGCGCGCCCTCTCCCAGTCAACGGCGGCTTCTGCCAGCTCCAAGCAGTCGGTGTGGAACCAACTCCTGCAGACCAGGCATTGGGCCACTTCCTGCGTTCCACGGTTGTACCGGCGATCCGTACATTCCTCGTACTCGCACGCTATCGGGCTATACCCGGGCGGGCGCCTGTGCTCGAGTGGTCGGTGCGCCGTGGAGTTGCGGATCTCATCAACGTAGTGAACAACGCCGGCTGCGACGAATGCCCGGGCAGTCGTGGTGGATGTGAGCGGAGGAGGAAGGTGTGCCGTCGCGTCGTCCATGTATACAGGCTCGGCCAACGCCACGATGTCGTGCGCGCGACAGAACTCCCAGGTATCGAGTCTCACATGCTCACGACCGTGCATATTATCCACCAGTCTAGGACGGGTACGTCAGCAAAGGCGCGTCAACTATGGCACAGACCCGTACTCTGACACGGCTTCCCACCGCGTAGGCAAGGCATGCCTGAGATAGTCGCCCGTCGCGTAGCCGCGCATCAGGACATACGTGCGAGCAGCCTCCTCGCCTTCTTGGCCGACAGCTGGCGCGCTGAAGATCTCGCGAATCTGGCCTAACCAAACCTGCTGATTTTGCCGCGGCAGCAAGGCATTGGGGTCGTCAGCGCGGTGTTCGTCCACATCGGCGTCCGATGCATTGTCGGCGCCCGGCGCGTCTTGACCTTCACCTTCCGTTTCGGCGGGCGTGTATTCGAACTGGCGATGCTGGTTCAACGCGCGATGGTCCAGCGGCCCGATACTCCCGGCGTACCAGACGCTGAGATGCGATGAGCGGGGGTCGATCTTAAATAAAAAGAGACGTTTTACAAATCGCCGCGCCGAACGGTCGCAAAAATGCCCGCCGCAGGAAGTACTAAGTGTGAATTGAGATGAATATCGTCATGGCGCAGACAATGAACACGTACGATCATATCCCTCAGGAGTTTCGTCGAACTCCCAACGTAGATCTTCGTCCTGTGGGAACCAATCCTCCCCATAATGGCTGCGTATGCGACTCATCGTTTGAGCCTGGTCCAAGTTGCCGATATCCCACGCCATGTCGTTTGAAAGGCTGTCGTGTAGAGGAGAGGGTGAACGCAAGAGGGAGAAACTTGCGTTCGGACGACATCGGGAGGCCGCGCTCGACATTGAGCCTAAAAAATTGAACACGGTCAGGTGACTTGGCGCGGCGCGCGATCTCGTGCATCAACACCGTATATCAGAACGTCGAGCTACAGTATGTACATCAAGAATCAGTGTGAGACATTGAAGATCAGACCAGCAAGAACTCTCGCAGACTACGCGGGCGCGGGCGCGTTACCCTCGCTGCGGCGAGCTTTTTTCTTCGGGGAGCCCTCCGATGCGCTCGCGGAAGGTGCGAACGTTAGGGACGCCCGCTTGCGGCCTGCCACGCGAACAGGACCATTGCTCCGGCCCTTTGACGGCGAGGACTTCCGCTCAAGCTTGATACCAGCCTGCGACGGAGAGCCCGGACCTTGACGCGTCTTCTTCGCATTCTCAAACTCAGCCAGTTCACGCCCGCGCGCATCCAGCGCGTTGGTGACAGCGACCGTACCCTCGGGATCCCAGTTCTGCAGCAAGGCGATGACGGTGTCTTCACAATCGCCGTCGATCTCGCCGTCCTCGCGATAGCGTCTTATTGCCTCCAACAAGGCCGCGACTTCACGCACGTACAAAGCCCAATCGTGGACCAAGACGCCCGAGGCGCGTGCCTGCACAAGGCTACGCACTACAAGAACCATGCCGTATCGTCCCGTCATCTGGGCAACGACGCTAAACGGCTGGTTACGGAGGGACGACCAGCACGCCAGCAACTTGTGCTCAAAGTTGGGCGTGTACGCCTCCTTCTTGCTCGGGTTATCGTACACGTCTGCGTGATCGATCTTGCAGGCCATGCGACGCTTACTCGCCCAGTTTTTCATGTAGGGCAGCGCACCGGGAAGGTGTTCGCCTTGCTACAGGCGACATTAGCACGATGAACGCTACCTACAACACAATGGGCACTAACCTTGAAACCGAGCGTCATCTCAATTCGGACTAGTGGAACGACCATCAGCCCCACCAACTCGCGGCCATCGTCCAGCCTCGCCGCCCACGCCCAAACCCAACCGGCCCACCGCATGAACTGCACAGCGAACTCTTCGTCGGGCCCGTTCGGCGCATCCATTCCCAAGTGCGCACTATCTCCGGAACCGGCCTCGTTCGAACTCTCGTGCAGCTCGTCGTCGTGAACGCTGATGTCCTCGTCTGCCTCTTCTACGACTCGCCGTTTGCGTGCAGAGGCACGAGACTTCACGTGCAGCTCGTCTTCGTCCGAGCTGATCTCTAACGTCGTACCACGGGACTTGGACGCGTCGCTAGGAGGATTCGGTCCAGCTGTGGGAGTGGTAGATGGTGCACGCGCTTCCCACGCAGGCCTTGAGTCTTCCTCAACGTCTGGCGAAGGAGACTTCCCCACGCCAAGTAAGTTTCCGACCTAGCACGTATCTTAGAACGAACCGGCAGTCAATCAAAACCACGGACTTACAACGGTGTTCTCCTCAACCTCGTTGTCCTCGTTCTCTCGCACTTCCCCGCGCTCTTCGTCGACCTTGCCCATAGTGAACGGCTGGTCGATGATGCGGGGCCAGTTCACGGCTGCGGCGTTCTCCGGTTCAGGGGTTGTATCTATAGATTACATGAGCAGCACTAAGACCACCGTTGAGTGTCACGACTTACCTTGCGCGAGGCGCCCATCGTCTGTCACCGAGGAAGGCACATCCTCTAGCGCGATTTTGGCCTCGATGAGCTTGATCTTGAGACCCAGCGCGGCGTTACTGTCGCCGCGGGCCGTTGCCAAAGCCAACTGCTTGTCGAGAACGTCCACGCGGAGCGTACGCACAGCTGTGACGTCGTCTTGGGACTCAGCCAGCGCCAGTTTGGCTTGCGATAATTCGACCTGGAGCGTGAGGATGGAGTCGGGCGAGTTCTTCGACATTTCTGATGCGCAGCGGTACAAGATGAGTTGGGCGACGGAGGAGGGCGATGGAGTGCACACACCTAGAGTTCGAGATGGATGACGGGAGTCAAGGAGTCGGGCGTAGCATGAAGTCGCGCCCGCTCATTAAGTATGGTGAGCAGATAACACTTGGCCGCGATCAGACACGCGTAGCATTCATATACGCCACAAGCGACTCAACTATTCGCTTCAGCGCCTCGAGGCACATCGCGTGACGTCGGGGATGTGTTGGAGTTAAGCCGCGAGCGGTAGAGTACCAAAGTCGATGCGTGGAGTAGAGGTCTGGTTGCCACATATGATGAGACAGGAAGACCCGAGTCGCTGAGCGGCTGGGGGAGAAGCGACAAAGGTAGAGTCAAGAAGAAAGGCGAATGATGAGTGAGGCGCGCGTGGCTGTAACCCGTGCTCCACGGGCCGACCATCCGACCCTGCATGCGCTGTACGCGCCCAAAAATCTGAGCGTCTCGTCACTGCAGCCACCAGCTAATAGCATTCTGAGCAAGATGTTCTATGTAACATGCAACCGTATTCCTGCCGCACTCCTACAATCTAGCTTTCAACCCGCCGGCCAACGACTCTCCGTCCCATCCCTTGATCCGGCTATGCACAGCCGACGCGCACTCGCGGCATCTTGTACTGTGTTGTCCGCTGGTGACCTTACGCTTCTTCAGTCGGAAGTGCTCGTCGATGTCCGAGAAGTAGCCTGGGACTTCCCGTTCCATGCGACGGAAGCGCGCTATGTTGGCGCGGTCACGAACCTGGGCTCGGAGCATGTCCTTCTCCATCGCCTGTCGTATCTCCCACGCCCGTATGTCCTCGTAGAAGTCACTCAGTGAGCGCCCGCCATTCTCCTCCAGCAGAGGCTTAACGAGTTGGAGATGCATGTCATTCACGGCAGAAATCTCGTCCGGTCCCACCCGTGCTGCCTCGCGAGCGATGCTGACCCCCTCGCGCCACTCCTCCAAGGCCTGCAGAATGTTCCCAGACCCGGGTGCTCCCATCTCGCGAAGGCCAGCGGAGGATTGGTTACAAGCGGACCAGATGCTGTTGATAGGACTTGCGGGGTTGCACAGGCTCCGCGCGCGCGCACCCAAGGGCGCGTTGGCGGTCTCCGGTCCGGCCCCGTCTACCCGCTGCTCGTTCTCTCCTACGAATCAAGTACGCGCGCTTCAATATCGACTCATGTATAACGGGCTGGATCGGCGTACTGTCTTGTGCGTGAGGCAGCGCGTGAGTGGCGTGGCCACAATCCTTGTCAGAACAGTCGTCTTCACTTGACCATTCGCTTGCTGTAGCTCGCTATATAATTCATTGACTGGCTCGCGCACTCGACACACTCACCACTGTCGCTGACAGACTCTAGCTCAGGCATGCGGTCGCACACGTCCTCGTTGTACGCCTCGAGCGTCATGTTCGCGCTACACGGCAGGCGATGAGAAGTGGCAGTAAGGCTCAACGTTCAACGAGGGCACCGCTTGCGCCTCTCGATTTGAGCGCGGCTCGCGAAAGCTTGTTTGACACAGTGCACGTCGGATCTCGTATCATCCGTCTTCCGTCCCCGACGGTTGTGTGCTCTCTACGGTAGGTATGCTCTACAGTATGCTCAGACTGGACTACCCTAATCATTGGAGTGCATCTCAACCTCGCCTCTGCCTGCCAATCAACTGGTAAGCATCCCAGTCGTCCTCCACGTCCGATGCAAATAGATCGTTGGCTGATTCAGGAGTCGCCGCGGTGACCGAACCCGGCCGAGCGCAGCCATTGCCGTCGGAGACGGAACGGGCATCCGCGCTGCAAGATCCGTCGTCGCTATCGGATGGGCTTGAATCGGCCGACTGGTACTGAGCGTTGAACTTGTCGAGAAGCTGAGATGGCGACCACCACCCGAAGGTAGCTTGGAACGATTTTTGCTTAACCCTGTAGATACTGTTATGTCAGTACAGCCGCAGGAGCAACAAAGTGAAATGGTACCCTCCTCCGCCCTCGTGCGACAAACGCGTTATCTACAGCAACGGCGCGTAACTGCCTGGCGTCGAAGGTAAGGAGTTCCATCTCTTGATGGATGATAGCGATGTCGCGACGACCTTCATGTAAGACGTTCTCCTGCCTGCGCGAGGGTTTCCTGATGTTACACATCTGACGCGAAAGCTCTTCTTCCACTGTGTAAAGACGTCGTTCCAAATAGTCGAAGTAAGTGTTGTTAGCGGTAGCGAAGTCGTTGTATTGGGAGCCGTATTCCCGATGAGCGGCTGCGAGTTCGTCCCACAGAGCTTGTTCCGCTTTTGCGCGAGCGGGCGTCACTGATATGTCCGCGAGGGATTCCTTACTGACCAATCTGAGCTCGTATGGTCTTGAAACCCCCGTTGTCGGTTAGCATTTGGCGAGTATGCAGCACCAATCGCATACCTGATTAGACCGCGTCGTGTCAGTCTGTCACGCTCGCGGCGAGCTTCATCCTCTGCACGTCCGCGGTGGCGGCCTCCGCGACCTTTAGACACTCTTGTAGATGCCTTCTTCGTGGTCTGAGATGATAACTCCCGCTCTCGGGATACGGCAAGTAAGTATGATCGTGCTAGTTGAGGTCTGAGGCGAGGATCACCTGTCAGTGTGTAATCAAAGGACATGTCCAGACTCGTACAATTCGGCGCATATAGAATCGCGCAGGATATCTCTTCCACGAAAGTCGTCCATGAAATCTATGGTAATGATGTGACGCGATGCGGGGAGCCAGCAGGTTTTGGTTTGAGTGGAAAGACGCGCGCGGACGTGCCGCGCCACAAGTTCAAGCTCGCATCCCATCCACATGCTATGCTCCTACACGCACGACTCTCGGGGTGTCCGCCATCGTTCTTGTGTAGTCTTTTGCGGGGGAGTTCGCTCTGCATGAATGATACAGATTGAGTGCAGGTAGACGTAGCCGATCGGCAGGTATTCAAGTAGAAATCGCCCCATCAAACCGAGCATAAGGGCAGTGACACGGGGCGCGAGCGCAAGAATGACGCAGAATCTGGAAATGTACGAGTCCCGCGTGTATTTACAGCGCACAATACATTTGGCCACAGCATTCATATAATGTGACTGAAAACAGAGAAGCATATATAGCTATAGATATACAGCTGCGAGCCCGTCTCAGCCGAGAAGGCGGCCGGACCGCATGACACACCCACCCGCACTCTCGTTCGATACGCACGCGCGCATGGTCCTACGAGCACTAATCAGTGTATGGAAAGCATGAGTTTTACGAGGGCCGTACCACATTGTCCTTTACGCGGCCCCGACAGTTTCGTGCCTGTCGAGCGCGAGCATGCGCTCCGTCCACAGAACTTTTTTGACGTCCTACGAAGACGTGATCAGCCAGTTAAATCAAGCTTCGGCAAGAGCTAATCGTACCTGGACGATGACGGATGGAACACCCTCCGCGGGCAACGGATGAGGCGGGTTCCCTTCCGCAACGGCATCTTCGAGGAGTTGCTCCTCGACCTCCGTGATGTTGCGCCATGGGTCTTCTGCACCGTACTTGATCACGACCGATTCGGCGGCCTCCCGAAATACCCCTTGGGTGGCTCCCTTGCTACCGGCGTCCCTAGCAGCCGCATAGCGCGGCAGGTACTGCGTAACCAGATAGCGGCGCTGAGGGTTTGTTACCTTCTGGGCGTGCCCGCGTCCGTGCATCATGATGCGTAGATTGAGACGCCAAATCAACCAAGGAAAGCTTTAATAGGCAGCGAGGTGTGCGGGATGACGAGATGACGAACGAAAATCAAGATATCAAAAGCTTCCTGGGGACAATGCACAGCAAATTAGATGTCACGGAACAGACTTCGGTTATAAACTATAGGCCGAGTTCTCCGACGGGCCGAAGATCTGTACAGATCACAGGCTCCTGACCCCCATTATCCCGAACCAGCTCCCACAACGAAGTCAAGAGCGCCTCGCGCTCCCGTCGTAGATACTGTCGGGAGGCCTCAGTAGCAGCGAGAGCTGCATCGAGCGGCAGGTGAACCCAGAACTGGTCCACTTTCCGCATGGCTTCTGCGTGGACGATTGAGGATCGGCGAGATAAGGTTCCGCTCATGAAGTACGGACCGTCATCGAGCGCTTGGAGCTCTGGACCCGCACGGTAACGTTAGTATACCATTGACCGCAACGCCGAGGGCTGAACTCACTGTCGCATATCACACGTATGCGTGCTTGCAACGACATGGAGGTTTCGACAAGCAAGCGGTAATCGTCAATGGTGGTGGTGAGAGGAGAAGGCAGGTGCCTGGCCACTCGCGCCATTGGTATCTCGGTCGCACAGCCGCGGATCAAGCACTTGGGGAGGAAGAGCGAGGCCGAGGGATAACGTTCAAGCGCGAAGTCTAAACATGATTGACGTCCAAGCCTAGAAGGTCCACAGCGCGCATAGAACGCGTACTACTGCTACGATACGGTGCCTTTATCAAAAACTTCCCGAAGGCTCGCCCGATGATCTTTTTCCTCGGCCGATTGGCCTGCAGATACGTCACCGCCCACACGCGCGGCCCAGCGACAGACGATATCGTATGTATAATGCCCGCGGCAGCGCGCGCAGGCCGCACACAAGGCAGGAGTATCTTGCATCACTCTGCGTGAAGAAGTGCTGATGAGTGAGTGGCGTATCCACGATACCGTGCGTGGCGAACATACCTCTGAGTGATAGCACCGTCCACGGCGCACCACCGCTCAGCAATAGGCAGTGAGGATCCCATGATCTGCATGGCATGTTGTTCTTCAGCAGGTACGTGAGGCTTGGTGCGTTCTTGCGTCGCACCGGCGATGCCTACGACACCTACGTCTGATTAGTTCGCTGCAATAGTGGACACTCAGGTGAACGCACGAGTTTGGGTAACACAGGGCTCGTCGTAGCCGCGTATATCGCCCCCAGAGACCACTGGAAGACCGTCCTCGGCCTTATCGGCTGAACTGGACTTGCTGCACGAGTCTTTGTCGCCGCACGATTCTTCGTCACTGTCAGAGACAGGGAAACTTTCCAGGCTGGGCATGTCAGACAGGCCCGAGTCGTTGCACAGGTTTCGCCCGCAAGTACATTGCAGACGAGGTTCCGACGCGGCGAGGTGCGAGAGAGCGTTTGCAGACATGAGCGCGCGCGAGGCGGGGGCAAGGCGAGGAGAGACGGACGTTTGCGAGTACCACATATGTAAGTGCGGTTCGGCCCGACACGCCTGCCAATCAAGCTTTGACTCTCGGCATCTCAACGGGCGGTGGAGGGTGAACGGTGACGGATGACACCAAACAGCGAGCGGAGCATATAGCATGTCGAGTGGCTCATGCTGAGAGCGGTAGAGACGCGAGGGCGCGATGAGAGACGTGAATGCATGTATTGGCGTAAGAGGGACATGGATGTCAATGTCAAGTGGAGAAGGCGTTCGTGCGTGCTCACAAACTCGTCGCGTAACGCGGGCCGACCGCGGCATCAAACCTTTGCGAACGCAACGAAGTCTCTACGGTCAATACCACTAGGTCTGCCGCGCAAACGGAACGATTCATCAGTCGGTCAGAAGCTATGAGGTGTAGGACTAAGCAGTGATACCAAGTTGATAGTCGTACTGAGTTCACGAGACACCTCCTGGTGAGAGCGGGACGGTTCGCTAGGACAAAGCAGACTCATGCACATGCCGCAGGCGTGAGTTGCTTCCCTATGTACCGGGCCAACTGACGCGCTATACCGGAAAGACATACGCAAGATCACTACCCTCCGTTTGTACTGTGGTGGGATGGCAGATAACTTAACGATGAGCAGTTCGAGCAGTAGGACTAGCTATTCGCGTTAGATGCCTTCTTACTTGCGGTGAGGAACTTCGCGCGGCGTGAAAGTTTCCCTCTCTTTAGCTTGTTGGGCCGCACACTCTCCATGGACCCAGCTAAAAAGTGCTGCATGCATTCGGGGGCATCGTACAAGAGTCGTACAATTTTTTGGTGGGATATGGCTTGCCGATAGGCTTGATGCGAGCACGCTGATCTCCCCTCGTTGCACTCTGCGCGAGCCTTGGCCGAGCCGCGTCTTGCTTGCAGCGTCGCGCCTTCGATACTCGGCCTAGCCTGGCTCATGAAAGCAGACACGTATCACTAACGGGGTTCGTGGTAGGGTTGTTATAATCATCTAGCATAGTGTTCGCTACAAATCATACGCATATAGTCGCCTAGAAGTACATATGGGACTAACGACTGGTGTCACTGTAACCAGCTAGGCGTCCACGAAGCGATACCACATCAGGATTCTCAGAGTCTTCTATAGTATCTATAATGCGTTCTAGCGGGCGCACTGTCCGTGCAGCAGGTACACATTCAAACAACCGCACCCAATCGACTTCATCCTCCGTGAAGCACCAATCCGGCAGGTCAAATGCTATGCCGTCGATGGAGATCCCCGCGTTCATCTTACGAAGGATGGGGACAATCTCGTCCGCCCATTCCACCTCCTGCGTATCCACTCCCAGCAGACATATGTCTAGTGCGGGTCGTGGGGTCTTGGGGCGATGCCAGTCACCCAGGCGAATGGCATCACGCGGAACCACCGCGCCGGACACGAGAACGTCCAATAGTCCGTCTTGGGTCTGGCGAACGACGACCCTAACGGCATTGATAGTGGTCGTCGGTACGGCTGCGGGGAACGTTCAGATGGATGTTTGCGCGAGAGGATTGAGTACTGACGCAGACGATCTACTAGCACCTTCACTACCATGGGAAGCGTATCCCTCAACTGTGGGAACTCCTCACAGTCCAACCCGAGCTGAACAGCTGCTGTCGACGGAATCACCAGGGCCCCCAGCATGCGCACGTACGAGAGCGGACAGCCGACCAAAACCAGGTTATGAAGGTGAGGAAGCTGTACTCGAGGGAAACTCGGGGCGGCGAGGGTTTGCGCCACACTCAAGTCCGCGGACGGAGACGCGAGGGCGTCACGTATTTGTAAGTCCTCCAGCGTAGATGCGTGACGGGAGATGAGCGCGCGATGTATGGCCATGGCAGACGGACAAGGCGTATTGACGTCTGGGTCCCAGGTAATGTGCAATAAGCGTAGACCGGCAGCTACAATGGGCAGCCAGCAAGACTCGAAATACGCACGAAGAAGGTGCGGGGCCCACAGACGGCCTGTGAACGACGGGCTATTGACGTCCCTGTGGCTATTGAGCAGGTGCGCGACGGTGCAACGGATTGAGGAAGACATACCTGACGAATGCGTACGCATTCTGCTGCTCGTACTCAATAGAAGCGCGGATCTCTTCGAGCTTCGTAAGAGACGGAAACAACATGAGACGCTTGAGGTGCTCAACAACGTCTCCGCGCCTGATGATCCATATCTGGGAACAGGCGGCGAAGTCGGCCGACTGCCGAATGTGCGTCATACGGCGAATTTCTTTGCCGCTATGAACAATCGGCTTCGACATGCGCGGCCTAGACGCTGAGACATGGTAGCACAGAGGTTGATCGCCGGCGCGTATCTGCAGCGTCGTTCAGTCATAAATTACGGGTGGGGCCAGTAAGTCGCACTCGAAAGACTCCCTGTGCTCCCGGATACTCTGTATAGTTCTCCGCGAAGAGCCGAGGCATGCTTATGACGACGTAGCGCAGGCGCCGGCAGACCCAGGTGAGTCTTATCCAGCCTTCATACCGCCCGATGACGGCGGGTTCGCAGCCGGCGCATAGCTCAACGATGATCTTCAGAACATCGTCGGGTAGATGCAGGATGCCAATACTATCATTAGCGGTAAGTGGATGTTACCAAAGTCAGAGCATACGCTTACGTACACTTGGCCCGTGCGGCGGTGCATGTGCAGCGCGGCCAGGGACATGACGAGGGTATCATCGACTGCTTGAGACATGGTTGGCGAACACCAGTCCCGACAAAGACCCCCGAAGATTAAGTAGCATCATGGAGAGGATGGCGCGAGGACCAGGGCCCGCCCTCAGTAGATACTTGCAGACTCAAGAGCGGAACCGATGAGATGGGGACCGATAAAGAGGCCGGAACAGACACATAGTCTTTCGATACAGAAGCCAAGAGCTGACAAGGCTGCGCACGATGAATAGAGACGGCAGTCCCGCCATTACTGTACGAAGTGTAAGTGCCGGCCAACTCGAATATATAGCAGATGAGAGACCGCGTCCAATGGAGGGACAAGGCAAGAGGCGTCTAGGCGTCTGAGCGGCAGCAGCGCCAATGACGATGACGCGTCCACACCCGCGGCGCGGGTGCCGTTATCACTCTGTCCGCAACGCTCATGTATCCGGCACCGTCTCGCTGGCGCCGACTCGCGATGTACCTCAACTGTCAACTAAAGCACGGACTTCTGCTGTAGAATGCGGGTGCTCATTGCACCCTAAATACCCGACGGTTTATCAGATCTGAATGCGTGCGTGCGCTCCTGACGTTCTTATCCCGCCCCCCGTCGCCAATGTTGGTCACTCGCCGTATCGTGTCTTGGCCGCCCTCAAATAAGCGCTGGTGGGTGCGCTACAAAAATATAGAAAGGGACGATCGCTACCAAGAGGCGGGTCTGCTTCACTACGAGCTCCTCGAGAAGGCTCGACACATCTTCCGTGGGCCTGCGGACCTGAGTCGCCTGCGCTCTGCTTCGGGCTGGGTGGTATCTTCGACTCCCCGCTGGGCGACGTACAAGGAGTTCGCGCAGGGCCATGGCGCATTTTGGGGCATCTCGGCCGAAGCCATGGCGCTGGTTCTGTATCACATGTCCACGTACGAGCACGCGAGCGCTGCGGAGATTGAAAGATACTGGCTGGCTGTGGACTACTGGTTTGAGAACGTTGCGTGAGTTTCATGATCGCATGATCGCATAGTATATCTGGCTCACTGACGAACCTAAATCTTACAGTGAGGAGCCGTACGACGAAGGCTTGTGGCACAACGACGATGGCGAATGGAGGGGGAATCCGGCCACAGCGGACGTCGTCTTCCGCGCTGTCAATCACGCACACGATCTGGACGCGGATATCGAACCGAGTGTCAGGAAAGCATCTCGCCGCGCGTATCTAGAAGAAGTTGCGCGCCAAAAAGCTCGTGAACAGGCTCGTAAGGTAAGAGACTCTTTGGCGCAATCGGCGCGGATTGATGCTGACGCCGCTTGCAGGCGAGGTTGCAAGAGTACGTGGAAGTATGAGCGCACTATGTCATACGTAGAGTTTGTTATACGTAGAGAATAAACGTGTTCTCCATAGGATCTCTGTTTCGAGTTAGTCGCGTGAGCGCGTTAGCGCCGTAAGGAACACGATCACCTGACAATTGACTCGCGCTTTTCCAGACTCGCGTTTTCTGGTCTTATCACACAGCGTATGCTAGAGAACGAGCCAATAGCATATGTAGGATATATAAATAGTACCACATCTCATATTGGCGGAAAACGTAGCATACAGGACACGACGACTTAATCAATCTCGATGGGAACCGGGAGAACTACACAGAATATTAGCCCAGCCGCTACTGTTGTAGAATTTAGATACGTACTCTGGCCTCCATACGCCCAGGCGGCCTTGGACTGTACGGAGTTATGGAGGCGGCCCAGATTATCTGCAAGACTGGTATGCAGTGATCGGCGCGCGAGGATGATGCGGCGAGCCGATGGAGGGAAGGCGAGGTCGCCTACTGTGCAGCCGTGCCACTCTTGAGCGGTCGGCGTGCCCGTAAGGAGGAGGACGGAGTCGGAGAGCTTAACCTCGATGGAGTTCCACTGCGAAGCATACTTTGAAAAGCGGTAAGAGGAGCCCGGGAAAGCTTCCTCGAGTAGTAACTCCTGAGGCGCGGCATGACCCTGATGAGCGTAAGCGGATGTCCTGAACTGAGCACAGACGAAACTTACGATATCATAGAAGAGAACGCGCAGCGCACGCGGCTCTCCTGTGAGGTCCAACACAACACGAGGGGGTGCTTGCAGGATCTCGATGCTGGGACTCCGCGCGCGGCGCAGACTCCGGGTATCAGAGGGAGGCGCGACTTCAGCGCGCTTGCGATAACGCCTACCGCGAGGAACTGTAGAGCGGCCAGAGGGGGCTATTGTGCCGCGGGAACGCGCACGACGGTCCAAGCCGAGGGCGCGCATGAAGGCCGCGTTACCAAGCGGTATGTTCTATGACATGAGCGAGTCAGTATCAGCCAAACCGAGAAGGGATGCGTCCTCACGCCTATGCCCAGGGAGATCGGACGAAGTCCTTCATCCTGTAACTCCCGTGCGATACGAGCGTCTTCGAGTTCTTGAGTCTTGCGAGCGGCGAGCGGGTTCGAAACGTAACGGAACAACTTGCGTGTGTGACCAGGGTACGGCGCCGAGGACTAGAAAGCATGTAGGTCAGTGATGAAGGGCACGCCGAGGTGGACGACGTACGACGACGAAGTACCGGCCGCGATTGGGATCGTTGGCACGATACTGAAGGATTGGGCCGATCAGTTCAACACCGTTCAGGTCGCATTCCTCTCGAAGCCGATCAATGAGGTCCAAGTTCATGGGTTTAGCGGCGCGCCGAACAATACTGCGAAAGTCTGCGTTAGCCTTCTGTACAAGCTCGCTTCGCGCGCGGGCACTCAGCTTCCATTGCGTAGTGTTGCGCGTTGAACGGTTGCGAGCTGACATGGTGGGTGTCGAGGTCGAGGTGTAAGCGAGAACGGTACCCGCACAGGCTTTTAAACCGCAGCACGGCGATAGCGTGACGCGTCAGAGGAAAGTTCCACGAGCGATCGAGGGTGCCGAATTAGCTCCCTGAAGCTTTGCGTACTAGAAAGAAGACGCGCGCACCTTGACCGTCGCTATTAGTCCCTTTGTGTACAGTTGATGATCTACGATTCGTCAGTGTTGCATACAGGTGGTATAACGAGTGACGGCGTACGCGGGGTAAAGAGGACATGGGACGAATGCGAGAGAGAGCGGAATGTCCCAAGTCGAGGCGGTGCCGAGATACCGATTTTGCTTCCGTCCCGCGCGTCACGGCAGTCGTGGCAACACGCGTGAGGCACTGCATGGTGGCGTGCACATCGTAGGTTGGATTCGTACAGTGTATGGCAGCAAGATGGCAGCATCAGTATCGAGTTCGACACGGGCAAGAGATTGAAAGAATGAAAAGGCGTACCAGGAGGTGGGCGCGGCGCGCATGTTCGGATGACGAACGGCGCCGCATGTGGCTATCCGTAACTCCTATCACGGCCCAGGGCGGCGCCGACAGACTGGATGGTGTCATTGGGCTGCGTTCGGGTCGGCGTCAACAATCGATATATTCTTTTCGGGGCCGGGCAGGGCAGAAAATCCCTGCCTCATTCCCCGACTCTACCGGCTGGTCCCATAACGTCTGCTCCTCTTGATGACCAGTACTGCCTCTGACGCGTCAGCCGGTGTCGACGTCGACGTCGATAGGGAGGATATCGAGACCAAACCTGTCTTGAAGGCAAAAGGGAAGGGGAAGCGCGGTGGAAAGAAGAAGAAAGCCGGTAACGACGAGATCGTAGACGGACGCGGGCGTCCGCGGTTGGTGCCCGACCGCCAGCTTGCGGATATTCGCACATTCGCCGCCCGCTATATCGATAGACGTGACGCAAAGGATTCGGAGGGAGTGAAGGCGGTCTTCCGCGACGCGGTGGGTAAGATCATGGGGAAGTACGACTGGGAGGACCCCCTGCGTGAGTTGGGGCCGGATGAGGAGGTTGATAGCGACGCGGAGGGTGAGGAGATCACGGAGGCGCGGGTTAAGGCTGCGATGAGCAAGAAGAACCCGGAGGCCGACGACGCGGTCCTCGCCACCGTATACAAGGTGCGACCTAGCGTACGACCACATCTGTATGCTAGTTAATGATTGTTCGCGCAGAGGGTGAAGAGCGTAATGTTTCAGGAGTACACGAAGGCCAAAAGCACCAAGCCAACACCGCCGCTCGACGCGAAGAAGTGGCTGATGAAGATGTTCGAGCACCCCAAGCGGCAGCCGGAGTACCTCTTCTTCTATTCGCGTCTGACGGACGAGATGAAGGAGGAGATCGAGAGCCTGAAGAGCGCGGCGGCGGCGGAGGCGGAACAGGCCGACGGCTCGCCGAAACCGGGCGCGCCCTATACGAACATCGTGGCTGCGAAATATCTGAAACTGGCTTCGGATGAGGTGAAGGCGGAGGTCGCCAAAGAGCGCGAGGATCACTACGAGACGGAGGTTGCCCAGTGGAAGAGACTGGTGGAACTGAAGCCGGCAAGCCGCGCGGAGGCGCGAACGTGAGTCTTCCCCCATGATTGGCACGCCCCATGTCGAAGCTGACATGCCCGGGTAGCTTCCTCGAACTGATCAACGGGCAACTTGTGCCGATTGCGCAAAGCGTCGCTGAGCTGGTTTCTGGAATGTGTGTCTGGATAACGGCGGCGCCGGGGATGGTACTCTGGTTAGTGACGTAATGTGGATGCGTCTGTGGGTCGTTACTGACGGCGTCTAGTGCGGAAGGAACGTTGGACGTACCGAATCGCGTTACCAAGAGCTTCAGCCAGATCGAGAACGACCTGGTCAAAGGCTTCGGGACCCACGTCATGAACCAATCAAATCTACTGAATGGTGAGCGATACATCGTGAGCGTAACGGCGTCGTGTCTGACTTACAACACCAGACTTGAAGTGGCCCGTAGATATGGAGGAAGCCATGGCCTCGGGCGCCCTTGAGACCTTGGACGAGTACGACAGCGATGATCGGTGGCCGGTTCAAGTGGACAAAGTGGCAGTGCCGCCGTCTGAGGCGCGCGAACTAGCACGAAGGGACCGATCACCACCGGACGCGGGTGGCTCTCAGAAGCGCACGGACGCTACGGTCATTCCTGAAGCGACGATGATGGAACGGCAGCACGAGGCGCGTCTGCTTAAGCCCATGTCGGTGGTGGTGGAGTACGACGCCCCCAGGCCGAGAGCGCGGGTAGGAGACCGTGGCGCGCATACACCACAGAGCAGCGCGGCTGGGCTCCGCCACGCGCCGTCGGCGGAGGATGTCGAGATGACGGGTTTCAACGCGCTACCTCCTCTGGAGCCCGAGCCCAATGCCGTCGAGAAGCGCGTACCCGACTCGTCGCCGGAGGACATTACGCAGTCGATCTCGGACCTGCCGCCCACGCAAGACGCCAAGCGTAAACGCGTCAAGAAGCGCGTGCCCGAGTCCTCGACGGCGGACCTTGTACAGTCGAGCTCGGACCAGGCGCCCGCGCAGGACCCCAAACCGAAGCCTAGGCCCAGGCCGAAGCCAAAACCGACAGCGAAGACCAACGCTGAGCGAGTCCTACCGCCGAGGCAGCGTTCGACTAGTCAACAGATCGACGGCGGCGGGGATCGTAACCGGAACGACGAGTCGGATGGCGGCCTGGAACCAATGAATGACGGCCACAACGCGAGCAAGGTGCATGATGCCGGCGCGAGCGCGGAGAATGACCTCGCTCTCAGCACGGCGAAGGATGACGGTACCGCGAGCGCGGACAAGGACCTGGCTCTCAGCACGGCGAAGGATGCCGGTAGCGCGAGCGCGGACAAGGACCTGGCTCCCAGCACGGCGAAGGATGCCGGTAGCGCGAGCGCGGTGAAGGATGCCAGTAGCGCAAGGAATTCTGAGGACGTTGGGGCGAGCCGGGATAAAGACGCCGTAGCGCCGGCATTGCTCGATGCGCAGGCGGAGACTGAGGGTGTGCAGGGCGGAGTTCCAGATGTGGAGGTTGAGAGGTCGAGCGACGTGGTAAACGCACGAATACTGGGTATGACCGCAACGTTGGCTTTCGAGTCGGAAAGGATGATCCCGGCTGGCGTTGATACGAAGGTGAGTTTGATCCTTGTAGATGAAGCATGCAAGCTAACGTACCGGCAGAAATACCTCGCGGAGTCTCGGGCGGCTACGCAAGTTCTCGAAGCTAGGGCGAAGAAGAAGTGGTTCGTTGCGATACGGATGGGCGCTTTCCTGACGGGCGTCGCGACCAAGTTGCCCGTCAACGTAAAGGCGTTGGGCTGTAAAGTGGCGCAGAGCTACTGGGAGTTCGAATCAAGTAACGTTGTCAGTGCTCACGTTAAACTCCACGAACGATGACTCACGTTAATCTTTCAGGTAGAGGGAAGATTGAGGCTGGAAAGCCTCGCTGACGGCGAGGTCCGGCCCAAATTTGCGCCCGATCTCCTGCGCAAGCTCGCAGGCGGAGCCCTGACGAGAATATCATGGCCATCCCGCGCAACCAAAGACAAAGCTCGAACAGGCGCGCAACTCGACGAGGACGTAGGCGTCCTGTTGGCAGAACAGTGGGCGTTGCAACAGCCTGCAGCTAGGCGCGATGGCGAAGGGCGTATCGTAGTGGCCGCAAGCAAGGATATGGACTGGGGAGATCGCCTATGCGGGGGTTTATCGGGCGTCAGGGTATTGGTGGTGACCTTGCTTGGCTGGGGAGCTAACCTGACGTCGATCGCGGAGAGTCGGGAGTGGAAGAGACTGGCGGTGGATTTTGTGGACGTTCTTGACATCCTGCGCGATAAAGCAGGACCGTTCGTTGAAGAAGACGGGGACGAGGAGAAGACGGGGGAGAAAGCGGGGGGGAATAAGCGTGAGAGGTAAGGATGTACAAGCTTGAGCGTATGTCGTATACTGATGCCCCGCATAGAAAACCGTCGGCGAGAGTTCTTGAGGGGTCTGCGTGAGATTGGCGTAGACGGGAAAGGGGTTATTGTATTATCAACGTCGTAACTAGTATCGTACGGAATACAAACGAAACATTGTCACGGAAGCGAGGAGGAAGCAAGACTTCAACGTTCAACGGAAGCGCGCGATGAGGTGATCGTGATGTCAGCGATAACGCGGGAAGGTGTTAACGGCAAATTCCGGTTGATTGCCAGCGCGCCCGAGTCAACCGACAACCGTCTTCATCCCGCGTCGCCCTACTGGACTATCGTGTCCGGTTACCTATCTCCCCTCCTCTCAAACGCGTACATGACATCCGGAAACATGGCGCAAGTGGCGACAAGCAGGACGGCGGACGACGTGTCTCCGGCGAGACAGTATCGTCCAGCGCAGGAGTGCTGCGTATGGGTGCGTAACGTTGTTCTGTCAAAGCGGAAGCTTGCACTTACTACGATGTAGGTACCACATCCCGAATGTGAGGAAGACTGGGAGGAACCCGTACCTGCCCTCACATTTGCGTCGGATGAGGAGGTGCGTCTTCCCCTCTGGGAGCTGCCAAGCTTATGAACCAGAGCTGACATTTGGGATGTCAGATGTGCGAGTGGAGGTGCGCTGTTGAGCGGTGTCAATACGCCGCTCATCGCGCACTCGAAGCTGAGCGTGCACAGGCAGCAGCGGCTGAGCGCACGCGGTTCTGGATCGAGCAGTATGGGTTAGCGTACTTGTCTAGAGAGGCAAAGGCTGCGCGTGCGGTCAGTGACAAATAGCTGACTTGCGAACGAACACATACTCGATGGCTCGCGATATTGGCGCGAGAGTGTGTCAGTTGTCGTCTGTGCGCGAGCCG